AGGGAGGACAGCAGATCATGGCCTTTGCCGATATGGACTAAGTGATACCCCCGCCGACCAAAAAGATGGTACTGTATGGTGACATCGAGTGGACAAATAAAATATAGTGATGCTCGCCTCAATGACCCCAAGATGGTCGTGAGGATGTTATAGCAGAAAGACCAAGTATACAACGCTTTAAATATGAATTAAGCTATCTTTCCAAGGGTCTACGCCGCTTATCGGTTGACTCGGCTAGGATCAGACCTAGCTAGTCCTTTAGCTTCATAAGCGCTACTCTTAGCGTGTGCCCGATACTAACGACCGCCCGCACTGCCGCATCCGGGAAAGAAGAAAGGCAGAACATACGGTACATTAGCAACGTTTGCCTTTCTGCTGGTTCACGCGGTGTCAGAGATGGATGACCCATTGGGGAGAAGGGTTTACAAGTATGGTGTCCCCAACTTGGCAGTGGTGATGTGAGTGTATACACTGAATAGACATTCGACATTCGGACTGGTGAAGAATGATGAAGCAGCTGTGAGGGAAGACTGCAGTGGGCGCAGATTAGCGGCAGCGATACTGTCTTGTCAATTCACTGGATCGTGGCTACGGTTGTTGCTCCTCAGATGCGTATAGTCTAAGCGTCAGTGCTTGACATTGAGGATGTCTGCAGTGCACCGTCTGTCTGGCGCGACCTGCCACGGGATAATTCCTTGCCGATATCGGCAATCCATCGTTTGTCTTGTTCATCCCTTTCCTCTAGTGTATAGGCATGGATTGGTTGTAAGAAGGGTAAACAACAGTTGCAGTACTGACAGTTGCATGTCTGGTTGATGTTGATGTAGCAGTCAACAAGATAACCAATTCTCTCGAGAAATGGTAGAGTATGGGGTCGTAGTCGGAGTCGATAGCGGGCGAATTGCCGAAGCCCTCCACCTTCGGCGCGGGTGCGACCCACGGCAAAAGCCTTTGCCTTAGCCGCCCCAATGGCTTCGTGACGTTGACGACGGAAGTGGTGGGGTGTGGGGGAAATACCTTTATTATTCATGATGATCAAGCTTCGGATAACTCCCTGAGACTCGGATCCAGGCACATCTTAGACTATTTATATCTATCAGAATCACCCCGAACCCTCTAATCTCTTCCCCGCTATCTTGCAATCCCGATAAACCTGCGCACCATCCACCTCCAAACTTCCACTCACAATGGATGCTTTCGAATACAACTCCAACCCCGGCCGTGTCATCTTCGGCAGCGGCACGCTCCAGAAGCTCCCGGATGAGGTTGCCCGGTTAAATGTGAAGGCCCCCTTGGTGCTTTCGACCCCCCACCAAGTCAGCCAAGCCGAGAGCGTCAAGGCCGTCCTCAACGGCCAGATCGCGGGCATCTTCACCGAGGCCACCATGCACACCCCGACCCACATCACTGACCAGGCACTGGAATACGCGAACGCGCAGGGCGCGGATGCCGTCATCTCCGTCGGCGGTGGTAGCACCATCGGCCTCGGAAAGGCCATCAGCATCCGCACCGGACTGCCGCACATCTGCATTCCGACGACCTACGCCGGCAGTGAGATGACCCCGATCCTGGGCGAGACCGCCGACGGTCTGAAGAAGACTCGCTCCGATCCCAAGATCCTGCCGGGCACGGTCATCTACGATGTGGACCTGACCATGACCCTGCCTGCCGCCATGAGTGCCACGAGTGGTGTGAATGCCATTGCGCACGCTGGTGGGTTTCCAATCTTTTCAGCCCCCAAATTGATTTTGAGAATCTGGATGCTGATTTAGAACTGCGACGCGACAGTGGAGGCGCTTTACGCTCGGAACACCAACCCCGTCATCAACCTGATGGCCCTGGAAGGTACCCGTGCGCTGGCCTCCGCCCTGCCTGAGATCGTGGAGAACCCCAGCTCCTCATCGGCGCGGTCGTCCGCCCTCTACGGCGCCTGGCTGTGTGGTACGTGCCTGGGCAGCGTTGGCATGGCCATCCATCACAAGCTCTGTCACACCCTGGGCGGGAGCTTCAACTTGCCCCATGCGGAGACCCACACCGCGGTCCTACCGCACGCCATCTCGTACAATGCGCCTAAGATCCCCGAGGCCATGAAGAAGCTGGCCGAGGCCCTTCCGGAGAGCAACGGGGACGCCATCCACGGCCTCAATGTGTTGCTGTCCAAGCTCAAGGTCAAGCGCGGTCTCAAGGATTTCGGGATGAAGGAGGAGGATATCGACAAGGCTGCGGACATCGCGGTCAGCAACCCCTACTGGAACCCGCGCGAGATCGAGCGGGAGCCCATTCGTGAGCTGATCCGGCGGGTGTGGGCTGGTGAGCCGGCCCGGGCGGATTTGTAGATGGATAGGGTATCTTTCTGTATATATTTATTATTGTAAGAGAATTAAGGGTAGGCATGAGACGGCCATTGAACCCAGGTTCTATCTATGCAATTATGGTTAACTGTAAAAAAGTTGTGGTGAGCATGGTTTGTTGCTTTAATTCTACTTAGTATGTATGGCACCACAACCAAGTAATCCTCCTGAGTGCGATTGGCTCCCCTGCGGATGGCGGGGTGAAGGTGGGGTGGAAATCCGTTGGATTTTCCTCGCAGTCAAAAATTCCGCCCGATTTCCCTCCCCACCACCTTCATCAACACCATTCTCAATTGCCAGCCCTGGGCTGCTCACGATTCTGCAAAACTTTGCTCTACAATACCTCTCACCAAGGCTAACGATATGGAGGCAGCCCCCGTCCTCTCCACTCCGGATGATCGCATCCTGGAATCCACCGACCCGGTTGCGTCTCAGGAACCGAATCGCACGCTCTCCGATGAGGAGCTCTCGATTACCTATGACATCGAACGCACACTGAAAGAGATCCGCCAGGCACGGTATAAGCGCATTGCGCTCCAATTTCCAGATGAGATGCTTCCTGATGCTCCCCGGGTGTTTCAACTCCTCAGCCGCGGCCTGGACGTGACCGATGCCCCCCCTCAACCACCCAGCAACGAGCAAAGCAGCACCGACGGTGCCGAGCAGCTAGCGGACTCGGTTGGCCAGCTCAATGTCGATGCGACTCCCGCGCCTGCCCCGAAACTATATATTCTGGCGGATACCTCCTACGGTACATGCTGCGTGGACGAGGTGGCCGCGGAGCATGTGGATGCGGACGTCGTCGTGCACTACGGCCGGTCGTGTCTGTCCCGGACAGCCAGGCTGCCGGTCATCTACGTTTTCACACAAAAGCCTCTGCCTCTCGAGCCCGTGGTTCGCGCATTCAAGGAGACCTACCCTGACCCTGAAACCAAGGTCATTCTGGCGGCCGATGTGACCTACTCGAACCATGTCCCGACCGTCTACTCGCGTCTCGTCGAGGAGGGCTATACCAACCTGTTCGCCACGGATATCGTCCACAACCCTTCCTCTGCTATTCCCAACCGCACCGTCCCGGACACCGTCCTAGAGACCCCGCAGTCACTCTCTGACTGGCAACTCTTCCACATTTCCGACCCACCCACGGCTTTACTCCTGACCCTTGCGTCTCGCGTCGCCGCGATCCATATCTATCCCACCGATGACGTGACAAAGGAGATTGTGAAGCCGTTACCCGCGTCCACGGCGGCTGCCCTGCGTCGCCGGTATGCCATTTTGACCTCTCTCAACACCGTGCCCATCTTTGGTATCCTCGTCAACACGCTGAGCGTGAAGAACTACCTCCACATTGTGGAGCATGTGCGTGATCGGATCGCGGCCGCCGGAAAGAAGAGCTACTTGTTTGTGGTGGGCAAGCTCAACGCGGCCAAGGTGGCCAACTTCAGCGAGATCGGCGGTTGGGTGGTCATCGGATGCTGGGAAAGCTCCCTGGTCGACAGCAAGGATTTCTGGAAGCCAGTGATTACTCCATCGGAGCTGGAGCTCACGCTCCAGGGCGATACGGAGCGGGTGTGGACTGGAGCCTGGCGGAGTGACTTCCAGAGCGTCCTTGACCAATCCAAGGAAGAGGCGGAGAATGCGGACCCCGCGGCGGACGAGGATGGGGAGATGTCGGAGCCCGAGTCCGCACCACCGGAATTCGACCTGCGCACCGGTCGGTATGTCTCGCACTCCCGGCCCATGCGGAATGCTGCACCCCGCGTTTCCGCTTCCTCAGCAGAGGAGGCCGTATCGGCCGCTAGTGGGCCGTCGGCCGCGCGCGCTTTAGCCAGGCGAGCCAAGGGCGATATTGCCATGATCGGCGGGACATTCTCCCCAGGGGCGGAATTCCTGCAATCCCAGCGGACGTGGAAAGGTCTGGGAAGTGATTTTGACATTCAATACGAGGAAGATGCGCCGGATAGCACGCTGGTGGTGGAAGGGCGCAAGGGAATCGCAAGGGGGTATACTGTGGGCGAGGATGGTGATCGACACTAGGATAGATGATAGACTTCTTGTGCCCTGGGCGGTGCACCCAAATCAAGTTTCCTTGTTGTTGACTGATTGTTGAACTGGGCCGGTAGATAATGCGGATCTGACTGGTCAAGCGTGCTTTCATGCCTTATTGCTCCTAGCGGCCCAAAAAGAGATGTTGGGTGAGGTAAGTTGCAAGTTGACTAACTAGTCAAAGTCAGGTACGGAGTACCGGTAGTCTAGTTGATGAAGATTCAATAAAGGCGGGAGAGTTCAATCACTACTGAAAGAACCATGCTGAGGGAACAATAGTTTCCCTGTCCCTTTTAAGGCTTTTCTTTTCCTCACCCTCCTTTCATCCCTTACCCTCCTCAAGGTTATTATTTTTCTCTCTGATTATCATCCGACCTCAGGAAAATCCGCATCATCATGCCAATCGATAGCATTTCCAATTCAGGCTCGTGATGGTCGAAGCGACCTATCACATGATGCTGGGCCGGGCAGATCCCGGCAGCCGTCGTTGGATTTTGTCCCAATCCCCAATCTGAGGTGAGTTGGCAAAGCCACACACACCCACACATACCCACCACACCCACATTCACTCACGTACTCACTCACTCATCCCCATCACATCACCTCACCTCACCTCACTCTCGTTTCCCTTCTTCTCTTTCTTCAGTTCCACCCTTTTCCCACCTTAAAAAAACCCTGTTGTGGTCTTCTTCCTCGGCTTCTCTGCCTGCTTGGTCTTTTCTCCCTTGGTAGACCTCCCTCATATGATGTTCAGCCTTGGGATGTAAATCCGTCCTCCTTGCGCATAGTCGCCCTCTTTATTCCCCTTATGATGGGCGGTCATACCCGCGTTCTCCGCCGTGCTCGCGATCCCGCGACACTCTACCCTCCGACTCCGTCCCGGACTCAATCCATTGACCAAGTCATTCAAGACATAGAAAAAGATCAAGCAGGAATTTCGGCCTCAGCGCCGTCGTGACAGACCGACATCCTCCGGTAGCGCCCTTCGTATCACTATCACTATCGACGATAACGATGGACGGGGAGAAGCACAACACCGCCGGCCCGAGCCAGCAAGTGCTGGTGGAATCCGCGCTGGAGCAGTCGGACATCCACGCCCAACACTCTTTATCAACGTTCGAAAGAGTCCTCACCACTCATGCGCCCATCCTCGAATCCCTCCTTTTGCAGACCCCCACCGACTCTATTCTCTCGCTCTATCACACTTCCCGCTACCTCCGCTCCTTTCTCCGCTCATACCCAACAGCATGGAAGTACCTTTCGTTCCGGCTCCTTTATCCCTCAGGCACGCCTCCCCCGATTCGCGTGGTCCTCACCGGTTCCTCGGAGGCAGTGGTGCCCCGTCAGTCGCGACCGTACGCTCTCGATCAGCTGCTGATGAATGTGGTGCTTCCGTTCAGCCCGTGTTTGCGCAGCCTGGAGTTGGATAACACGGCGGTCTCGGGTCAGATCCTTATCTCCACAGTCCTTCATGCTCGACGGGAGACACTGGAGCATCTTTCTGTTCGGGGGTGCAAGAACGTGTCACTCAAGTATCACATTATTCCTTACTTGACCATGTTTGGTCTCCAGTACGATGTGAACATGGAACGAAATATCGGTAGCTCTCCTGCCACCAAACACCTCGCTCTCAAAAGTCTATACACCTACCGATGTCGCCACCACCGCCGTCGCCCCTACCTCACGTCATCGTTGTCGCGAAAGGATTCGGATTCCGAGCCCACACATGAGCTGGTCAACCTCTGTCACAAACTGGGCATCTGGACGGATACGGCGTGGTGCTCGACCCCGGCCGGGCGGTGCTTCCGCAGAAGAGGGTATGTGTCGATGCGGGTTCCCCAGGGTTCGGCCGAGGTCTGGGTCGTCTTCGATCGGCTGTGGAGGTCGAAGAACTGGATCGGACCGATCGACTCGGGTAACAGGCCAGCTCAGCGTGACGGCAAGCTGTGGGAGCACAATGAGACGGGCTATTGCGGCGAACCGCTGGGGACGGGTGAGATCGGTGATCTTGGTGACGGCAAGATGAAACCGGCGCATCTGCGTCAAAGTCACGCGCAATTTGTCCAGAACATCCGCTGTGATAACTGCTGCGAAGTGATCCCGGAGCGGTGCGAGCAATGCAGCATCTTGATGCACTGCGTCGGATGTCGAAAGACTCTGTGTGCTAGCTGTGCATACGATCGGCCTTACATTGCTGGTCATTTGGAGCCCTCCTCGACCAAGGAGTCGAATCCGTTCTGGTGGGCCCCTGGCGCAACAGTTTCGCCGTGTTCGATGCAAGACCCAGTGGAACTCACGGATCATGAGGCACTCACCACCAACCCCACCGCTCCCGCCGCTTATCCTGCCCTCAAGCTGCACTGGTGCTGCACGGAACCCATTTTCTCCGGCGGAGGCGGGATCAGTATCGGCACTTCCAATCGGGACGTAGATCAAGTGCGCGCGGTGCCTTTACCCAGGGGACAAGGCTGGGAGGACCTCGAGATCTCGGCCCAGGAATGGAGCAAGACGTTCCCGCGCGACGCTTACGGAGACCCACGCAAGCCGGATTACACCCTCGAGACGGGACACATCGCCATGATGAAGTGGCTGCTGGGTCCGCCTAACCGACAACCCACGGCTTGTCCCCGGAACTTGTGCCAGGATTGCTACGACACGCCGCAGTGGAAGGTGCATTGCAAGAGCTGCTCGAAGCCGTTGTGCATCGAGCATGATCTCCGTGGTCTACGGCTGAGGATTTGTGGCTACCGGGACTTGACGCTGGAGAAGATGGCGATTCAAAACCACGCTGCATCAGGCTCTCGCGGCTACCTGGCCCCGCACATGGCCTATCCCCACTCCGTCCCTGAGTTCGAGTTACCGTTCCGGACCCAGCGGGTGATCGACTCCACGACGAGCAGCTTCACCGAGGACCATGGTGAGGGGGCCGGGGAGGTGCGCAGTCGCGCTCTGCCCGAACCCCCGGGACCGGCTTCGCTGATCCATCGCCGCTCCCGAAGTCTGTCCCTGTCCAACTCCAACCGATCGCGATCGTCCTCCCCGTCTTCCACCTACTGTGACTCGCCGTCCGAGCAGCTCCGATGGCAAGGCTGCCAATCCTTCTTCTGCCCGCAGTACCGTGCCGTCGGCGACCAACGCCAGCGGTGCGCCAGCGTGCTCCGCGAATGCACGAGTTGCGCCGTCTACGTGTGCCAGGACTGCGTGAAGGCCAACCCCCCCTGCAAATGCTCCTTCTGCGAAGTCAACTACATCTGCCCGAACTGCGTCAAGGTACGCGAACGCGAGGGGACCTGCCGCCGGTCGGCAGAGGAGAAGGCCCGCCGCGAGCAGAAGTGGAAGGAAGACATGCGTATGCTCGAGGGGATCCTAGAGGCGAAGCTCGCGAACGCGACTGCCGAGTATGCGGGCCAGTTCTTCGGGTTTTTGGAAGGTGGTGAAGTTAGTAGTAGCGCGGCGGCGGAGGTGGAATCCGATGTGCCGCATCCAGAACCGAGCTCGACGAGTTTCGACCCGAGCGACCTGCACGGCCTCCATGAAGTCGATCTTTTCGGAGAAGAGATTCTAACGGATAGTACGGAATGACGAAGATGATAATCGGATATGCTGGTGGTGGTACACGGGGATCCATTTCAATGGCGTTTAATGGGATATGTGGGAGCATTTCCAGCTTTCTTATTTTCCTTAGCATTTGTGCGAAACCAAAATCTTACATTCTTGGGTGGGATGGGGGAGAGGATGGAAAATGGTAATCTTGTTCGTGTTGGTGGCATTTGAGTGGGTATGCAGTCATGATGCGCAGGAAGCATGGAGACTGTTTAGTCGGGGGAGTGTTTGCCAGGGGTAGGGTAGGGTAGGTTGTTGTGGGGGTTTTGGGACATACGCAAGGCATATAGGGCATAATGATCTGTTTGTGACGCTGTCACATCTTCAACAGTTAGCAGAGCCAATATTCCACTTTTTCTTGAACTTAATCGAGAGAGTATGGGACCTCTTTTGCGTACTACATATCCATAGAACGGTAATACTTGCAGTACCAGACCAACAGCAACCAAACCCCAATAAGCTCGACCCAAACCAAAGCCCCGCAACGGACGGAAGCTACTCGAACCGCCGCAGCACCGCTCCACCATCAAATAATTCCCCCGCAGCTCTCTTCTTTTTCTCCAACGTCCTCAACCACTCCGATCCCCAGCAACTTCTTGAGGTACTGTACGGAGAAGCTATCCAACTGTCTCCCTCCAGACCCACCAACAAAAAAAAAACACTAACACCCCCTCCCAAATACCTAGAAAACAGGAGACAATGTCGGAACAAGAACCCACCCCCGCCGACCTCGCCGCGCGCGAAGCCGAGGAACACGCCCGCAAGGCCGCCGAGCAGGCCGAGCAGGCCCAGCTCCCCTACAAATGGACGCAGACCATCCGCGACGTCGAGGTCACGATCCCCGTGCCGGGCCACCTGCGCGGCCGCGATCTGGATGTCGTGCTCACCAAGACCAAGATCAAGGTGGCGGTTCGGGGGCAGGAGGCTGTTATTGAGGTTTGTTCTTTCGCCCCTTAGGAGGGAGGGGGGGGGATCTACAGTACTGGCTCAGGGTTTGGGTGCTAATAGTCGGAACCGCAGGGCACCTTCCCCCACCCGATCATCGTGGACGAAAGCTCCTGGACTCTGGAGACGACCGCGCACCCGCCGGGCAAGGAGGTGGCCGTGCACCTGGACAAGGTCAACAAGGTGGAGTGGTGGCCGCATGTGGTGACGGGGGCGCCCAAGATCGACGTCACCAAGATCACGCCCGAGTCGTCCTCGCTGAGCGATTTGGACGGCGAGACGCGCGCCATGGTCGAGAAGATGATGTACGATCAGCGGCAGAAGGAGATCGGGGGCATGACGAGCGATGAGCAGAAGAAGATGGATATTCTGAAGAAGTTTCAGGCGGAACATCCTGGTTAGTTTTGCCTTTCTTTTTTTGGGGTTGTGGGGGGTGGAATTGTTATGCTAATGGTTTGCAGAGATGGATTTCTCGAATGCGCAGATTGGTTGAGTTGGGGGTGAGGGGGCTGGGTGAGGGTGATGTGTATGAAGTAATGAAAGCATGCGTTGCTGATGTTTGATTCTTGTACGCTGGACGCTGTACCCCGTACTCCGTACTGTGGTTGCAATGGGGTTTTCAGGACATGATGCATGAGAATGATGTTGATATATTGAATACGAGGGTGCTTCTTCGGGACTAGCGTGTCAGCCTTACTGCGTCGATGGCTTCCATCGCTGGCTTGTCTTCCCCTCATTGTTACCTATCCCCATGCCTTGTCATTGTTGCAAGGTTTCTGAATCGAACCAGCAGGGTGATCAGGGTTCAACTATTCTTAGTCATGATCAATCACCATGTCTCTCCCCGCAGGTCAGGGAATCCTCCACCTCCAACTCCCCTCCTCCCAACCGGAGCGCATCTATCATGCCCGCCGCGCGCATCGGAAATCCCGCAATGGATGCTCCAAGTGTAAACAGCGCCGAGTCAAGGTACACCACACCCTCTTTGCCCAGTACCAGCCTTTTTCTAAGGATCTCAGTGTGATGAATCGAAACCCCACTGCCTTCGCTGCCACAAACTCAATCTGGACTGTAGCTATGGACCCAGCAGCAGCAGCACGGACCCCAAGAAAACAATGACCCGGTTCCTGACCAGCTCGCCGGACTCCAGGGCCTACAACCTAGCCCAGGACACCGTAGGCACCCAGCTCCACGACCTCCTACAGCTACCGCAGGGAGCCTCGCCCTCTATCCGCGTGGAGGCCCTGCATCACTTCTACGGCCTCTCCGACCCGGCCCTAGGGCCACAAGCCCCGCAAGCCGAGTACCAAAGACGGGTGATCCAGCTCGGATTCGAGGTACGAGCCTCTCTCCCTACCTACCCTCTTGCCCTATTCCCTGCCAACCGCCCCCCCCCCCCCAAAGACTAACCACCCCACCCCCAACCACTAAACAATGGGTATCAACAGTCCCCCTACCTAATGCACACGATCATCGCCTTCGCAACCTCCCACCTCCGCTACACAACCCCCACGAAACACCGCCCCTACGCCCTAACCGAAACCTACCACTGGCAACAAGCCATCACGCAGTACTCACAGCAACTGACCACCATCGGCCCGCACAACATGGACGGCCTTTTTGGGGCGTGCCTGCTCCTAACGGTGCGCTCCTTCGAACTCGACCGCTACGACCCGCACAGCTCTTTTGTTTTCGCTACATCTCCAGAACATACCGCCACCGCGCTGACCTGGCTCACCCTGCAAGTGGGGCTGCGGCGGCTGCTGGAGGCCACCGTCCCCTGGCAGCGGGGGAGTATGTGGTGGGAGGTCTTCATGGCGTCGGCGGCGCAGTATCGCGGGATTTTTGACGTCGAGGATGATGATTCTGAGAGGGTGGTGGCAGGGTGGGGGCTCGATCCCGGGCTGGCGGATCTCTGCGGCATCCATGCGGGGAGTACCCCCGCCAATAATGTGTATTACGAGCCGGTGCGGATATTGAGTGGGTTGGTGCACCTGCCCAGGGGCATCCGGAGCTTCGGGGCGTATACCGGCTGGATGGGACGGTTGGAGCCGGCGTTTTTTGAGAGGTTGGTCTGCAAGGAGGTTGCGGCGTTGGTGGTGTTGCGGGGGTGGTTGGAGTTGTTGGGGAGTGTGGATTTGTGGTGGATTGGGGTGAGGGTTAGGTCGGAGGTGCAGGCGATTAATTGGTTTCTTGGGGAGGTTTGAAGGTGGCGTTGATGGGGATGGGAGTCGGGTGGGAGATTGGGTGCGTTGTTGATTGGGGATTTATGGTCGGTCGGTAGGGGTAGGCTGATTTATGTGTTTAGATGTGGGATATGGAAAGGGAGGAGGGAGAGGGAGAGGACGAGAACGTCTCGGGTGACTCTGGGGCATCTATCTGCTTGTTGCACGGCTACATACACTGCGCGGTATATCTGCATCTTCATCCTCCGAATCGGTCCGTCAAGGGCGAGAATCGGAAGGGCTAGCCTTCCAGCTCAAGTCTAGACCGCTCTACCCAAAGGATAACATAGGAAAACGCCGAGGTTGTCTGGGCCCAGTCGACGGCCTGCAGACAACTTTTCTACAAGAATGCTGAAGGGGGTGCATCATCCAGCTAAGAATGCGGGGGCACTGGATAGATCGTCAGCGTCAGACTGGCTACTCCCACCGTTTTGGACCCATGTCACTGAGAGACTACCACAAAAGACATGCGTGATATGTCTTAGCCCTTATCATCTGTGTGGCGGGTTACTCATTGAGGCATTATTCTCCTGCAGGGGGGGAAGATGGACTCTACCGCTTCCATATCCTCTCAAACTTTATGATATTTGATGCTGCACACCCCCGTCTTACTCCCACCACACACCAGAGAAATGTCCAACCCGAAAACCCAAGTGGCCCTCTCCCACTCGGAGAGCACAGTCACCACCGACCTGACACAGTCCCGCCAGGACACCGAAACTGACAAGCCATGGCAATGCTCGGTGGAGGCCGCCAAGGCCGCAAACACCAGGGAGCACGCGATGTCCGTCACGCAGGCACTGAAGCTCTTCCCGTGGGCCGTCGTGTGGTCGCTCGTCCCCTCCATCGCCATCGTCATGGAGGGCTACGACACCATCCTCATCACCAGTTTCTTCGGCTACCCGGCCTTCCGGACGCAGTTCGGCGAGGAACACCCCGGCAAGGGATATCAGGTCGCCGGATCCTGGCAGTCAGCCCTCGGAGCGGCAGGGAACCTGGGGTGTATGATCGGCGCACTGATCAATGGCTATCTGATCGAGCGGTGGGGCTTCAAGCGGGTCTTTCTGCTGGCCCAGGTGCTGATGGGTGCTTTCATCTTCATTCCGTTTTTCGGCGACACCGCCGGAGTGCAAGTGGCGGGGCAGATTCTTTGCGGGTAGGTTATTTGGCGGTAGAGCTTGAAGGCTTCTTGCAATGGGGCTATGTGGTTCGGCCAAGCTGATAATTCCGAGGTAGACTCCCGTGGGGCATCTTTGCGACCCTTGGGCCGGCGTATAGTTCGGAGCTGTGTCCGATGGTGCTGCGGCCGTATCTGACGGCGTTCGTGAACGTGTCGTTCGTCATCGGCCAGCTGATCAGCGCCGGCGTGCTGCAGGGGCTGATCGATCTCCATAGCCAATGGTCGTATCGCATCCCCTTTGCCCTGCAGTGGGTGTGGCCGGTCCCGTTGTTCGTCTGCGGCTGCTTCATGCCCGAATCCCCGTGGTGGCACGTCCGGCAGGGCCAGTATGAAGCCGCCGTGCAGATCGTCAACCGGCTCCTGGCCGACCCCGACACCGACACCGCTCACCAGACCGTTGCGATGATGGTGTACACCAACAACCTGGAAAAAGAGATCAAGGGAGGGTCCTACCTAGACTGCTTCCGCGGGCCCAACGCCCGGCGCACGGAGATTGCCTGCATGGCGCTGGCCGGACAGGTGTTCACCGGGCTGGTCTTTGCGTACTCGCCGACCTACTTCTTCGAGCAGGCGGGCATCAGCGACGACGAGTCGTACAAGCTCGGCCTCGGCGGCGCGGGGCTGGCCTTCCTGGGCACGACGGTGTCGGGCCTCGCCATGCATTTTTTCGGGCGGCGCACGATGTATGTGGGCGGCCTGGGGCTGATGAGCGTCTATCTTCTGGTGAGCGGATGCCTGACGCCGGCAACGACCAGTTCCAACCCGACGGGGGCGGCGCTCTGGACCCAGTCCGTCCTCTGCATCGTCTGGATTTTCACCTTCTCGATGACGGTGGGACCGATCGCCTGGGTGATCCCGCCCGAGGTGTCGTCCACGCGGCTGCGGTCGAAGACGGTGGTCCTGGCCCGGAATTCTTATTACATTGCGTGCGTGGTGGCCAATGGGCTGGAGCCGTCAATGGTGAACCCCACGGCTTGGAATTGGCGTGGATACACGGGGTTCTTCTGGTTTGGGACGGCTTTCTTGACGTTTCTGTGGAGTTACTTCCGGCTGCCGGAGACCAAGGGACGGACTTATGAGGAATTGGACGTCATGTTTGCCCGAGAAGTGCCGACGCGGCAGTTTGGGAAGTATGAAGTGGATGCGTATGAGGGGGAGGATTCCGGGGGTGGTGTTGCTTAGCTTAGGTGTTAGCGCTGCCAACTGGCAAGCCAACTGGCAAGGCTGTAAGTGGGGACGGAACTGCGGGACACAGACCAATCAGCAGTGCGGGGAATCTGGATGCCTGGGAATTGAGGTTGAGGCTGTGTCAGCCAGCCTTTTTACTTGCCTTCTGGTTCTACTTCTTGATTTGACTGTCGGTCTGTCTTCCATCAACCAGTCGAGGTGACACCGTGGACTAAGTTACTACTTAGTACATACCTCCATTGTTTACGTTGACTTGTTGTGATCGATCTGTTCAACTCGGATGGTTATATACCTGTCCATCTTACTCAATCAATCTCACCCACCAATTTCCCATATACTGTCCTCCTCTCCCTCTCTATCGATAAGTTAGCACTTATCATCTTACCCACCGATAACGCGATAGCCCACCCCCTGGACCACCACCACCACCACCACCTGCTGGAATCACCATCAATGTCCCCCCTCAGCGCCATCACCAGCTGGCTCTGCTGCATCCCAAGCCCGGATCCCAATCCTCCACATCCACCTCCACCTTTACCTTCAGCCTCATCTCCACCATCAAACCATTATCGCGAAAACAACGAAGGCTACCTGCCACCCACCCCACCCCTCCCCGCCTACACCCCCCATCCGCACACCCCAACCGAAAAGACCCTCGCCCTGCACCGTCGCCCATCCTCGTCATCATCAACATCATCAACATCCTGGAACGAGAAATCCGGTGCAGCAACCACATCATCCCCCGCAGCCGCAGCCACACCCGCACCAGAAACAATAGAAACCACAACTCCCTACCCACCACCACCCCCCGCCGCACCAACCCCCCCACCCGCCCCCCTCTACCCACCATACTACCACACGGCCACCGGGCTCTTCGACCCAGACCCCAACGACAGCGACACCTCGTCGACGCTCTCCTTCCCCAGCACCAGCAGCTACGGGAACACCTCGACCGCGACGCGCGAGACGCCGCCGCCGCCGTACTCGCCCCGGAGTCTAGGGATGTCGTCGCGGACGATGTCGCCTGTGCCGTCGTTGATGTCGGATTCGGGGAGAAGTATTAGTAGTGGGAGTAGTGGGAGTAGTCGGGGAAGTGGTGGTGGTGATGGGTCAGGCAGAAGATCTGAGGAGATGGTGCAGATTGCGGCGCCGAGGGCGGTGGTGGTTTGGGAGTCGGCGCGGGGGAGGGAGAGGGAGAGGGGGTGGGGGGATTTATATGATTGATTGGTTTGGGTTATTGGGTATGGGTATGGGTAAGGGTAAGGGTAAGGGTACTATAAGGGACTGGGAGTTCGGGGGTGGAATGGTGTGGTGTGGTGTTTGGTGTTGGTCGGGTTGATTTGTGATGCATGGTGAGTTTGAGTTGAGCATGTGGAATGCGTTTGTATATCAGGCAAGCAAGCATGCCCCTTTAATATACGACTGATTAATCTCAGGTCGAACTACTAATGATGGAGTGCGTGCGGTATAGCTTCAATATAATATCGGATAACTATTTTCAGGATTACCAACATTTCAATATACACAACCACCGCTATAAACGACAGCAGCCCTATATCTCTCTTGACCCCTGCACCCCTGCTCTCTCTCCCTGTCCCCACCCCAACTTCTCTTCTACTAAAAGTGCAACCTACTGATAACTAACCACCAACTTCTCACTACTCACAATCTCCGGCACCGCCTGCACACTGGAGCTATACGTATCCTGAACCGCATACAGCGCCGCCCCATCATCAAGATTGTAGCTCTGCCCATCCGCCGTCTTGGCCACACAGCCCGTAAACACGGCATCGTCAAATCCCACGAGTGTCAACCCATCCCCATCCACCGCCAGGTCCTCGACAATCCACTCCGCATTCTGCCCCTCCAGCTTAGCACTCTCACTCGGCGCCGTCGCATGCATCGTCACCTTCTTGCCGGTGGTTAGGTTCTCAATCACGGCCGTCCCCGCCGTGCTGCTCGTCGCCTCGACGGAGGCGAACACGACATCCCCGATCGAGAAGTCCATCTCCACGTCCACCGAGTTGAGCGGGTACCACTCGTACCACGCCGCGAACGAGGTCTCGTTGTTACTGTCCACGTAGATGTCCACCCCGGTCTGCCAGATCGAGTTGCCCGCCGTCGCCCCGTCGATCCCCACCCAGAACGAGACGGCTTGCGTGTCGGAGCTGCTGGAGGCCGCGGTCGGCGTTACGCTGGGCAGCGTGAAGGTCGCCGCCACGTAGGTGTAGGTGGCGGTGGAGGCCGGGGCGGATTCGAGCACCGCGCCTGCCCAGTTCTCGTTGATCTCGTAGTCGGCGGCGGTGTTGGTGCTGGTGCGGTGGTTGACGCTCGCGGTGGTGGTTGGCGCCGCGGCGCTGGGGTTGGCGTAGTAGCTCGTTGGTGCGGCAGTTTGGGTCGGTTGTTGTTGTTGTTGTTGTTGTTGTTGTTGTTGTTGTTCGCTGCTGCTGGCGCTGGCGCTGGCGCTGGCGCTGGGGGCAGATGCGCCCCAGTTGAACGAGGGCTGCCCCTGGCCTTGGTTTCTGCCGCCGCTGGTGAAGCCGTTCACTGCTGCGCCGTCGCCGGGGAAGCCGCTGCCGAATTGACGGCGCTGCTGGCGGGCCTCGTGGGGCGCGGCCAGAGCGGTGCTAGCGGCCAGAAGAGCGCTGACTGCGAGGGAGGTGGTGAGCTTCATACTGACTGATGGCTTCCGGTAATGTCAAATGGAAAGTAATAAAAGAAACAAAGTTAAAAGAATGTATGCGCTCCAAGAGGTCGAGTAGTCTAGATAGAGAACGGAAACGAGCACAGCTCCAAAGAAAAGGAAGGGAAAGGTATGTTACACCTCAGATCACAGATCTTGGTTGATGAAGACCAGAAAACCATGGCGCTGGTGCCCGGGGTGCAGACCTTGCAAGTTATATGTCTATTGTCTGAGTCCAGTCACTTAGGGCTCGGTTTGGGATTGATTGCGGCCAGACTCCGGATGAAACCCGTTAGTGGCCCCGGGTGGAGTGGCGCTGCCCCGTCGGGCGTTTGACACTCGATCACCTTCATTTCGGGGATGGGGAGGGAGTGGGATTTTGGTTTTTTTGCGTCGGAGGGGCTTTTGGATAGGGGGTGATGGGTTGATGGGTTGAGGGTCTGGGAGGTGGTGTGGGTTGTGGTGGTGGTGATGGTGGTGTATTGTACTCTATCTGGATAATAGGCCGTCCACTTCATGAGGGCCATAAGGAGCTACTGAACCTGTCCATAACCATAGTCGAGGCTCAGGAGAGTCCCACGACGATGGAGTCTCGTCGTCGACAAATCCATGCCTCCCCCATACATTCATGTTGTTCACCGTGGCAAGGGGAAAGGGGCAGTCTAGATTTCACATAGTGGCATAGAGGGTTAGTCGAAACAGGCATACTTAAGCATATTTTCAACACCCCAATCAGGAAATCCACAGCCGAGACATTTCCAACAGATAGATTGAGGGGCGTCGACTCAAGCATGTTTTCGCTGCCAGCGTCAATCTCCGGATATAATGATCGTCCATTGTCATCAAGACTATCTCGGTACCTCTCCGCAACTGCCTAGTCTACAGTGCATTATCTGTTATGAATCTACTTTACTCAATTCTTTCCTCCACGATCATATATTGAAATAGCTTTAAAAATAGCACCATCTCAACAATCTAAGCCGGCTAGACTTTTTGTATATCCACAACTCCAATATGTACAAGAAGTCAAGAAACTAACCTGCAAGTCTATACACCTCTATCGTCCTCTAATTCACCATGTTCGGGCACTCCCCCTGCGCCCGCTTGAACGCTCCCGCAAACAGATCCTGCATCGCCAGGTAATGGAACAGAATCCCGCCCAGCACAGCAAGGTGCCAGATGTTGTGGCTGCCTCCCACATAGTCGAACAGTCCGGGCCGCCACCGCTCCGGCACCTGAGACGCATACACACACGCCCCCACGAAATACACCAGGACACTCTTCACCACCGGCGCATAGAAGTACAGACACCAGAAGAAGCCCCGGGTGTAGGTCAGCTGCGCCAGCGGGGCGAACCCGGTCAGAGCCAGCGACACATAGAAAGCCACCCGTGCCCACGCCATGTCCGCCCGGTTGAAGGTGGGGTGCCACGGCAGGATCACTCCGCCGATACCCAGAGACATCGTCAGCAGGATGTAGATCCACCGCGACACTGGCTCGCAGTAGAAGGCGGTGTACTCGGTCGTCACAATCGAGGCCGCGACTAGCATCGAGATACCCGTGTAGTCCACGCACGCGAACCGCTCCATCAGTGTCTGGCTGGCAATGCTGTTCATCGTGTGCCACAAGGTGCTGCATACCAGGCACTTGCACGCCGCGAAAAAGAAGACTGCGGCCACCAGCACATCCGTCTTGGTGCTCAGGTGGAAGTTGGGGTTCAGCGGGTAGAAGTAGAAAGCCACAGAGAGCACGATGAACAACCCGATCAGATGCGACCAGATGTTGACAAGCTCGTTGGAGAAGGTGAACATGGAGGCCAAGCACTCCACCTTCGAGTGCGTGAACCGGTATCCCTCAAGAATGTGGGGGTTCACCCGCCACGGCTGCGGGAGGTCCGCATAACCGATCAACCGCTTCTCCTGGGCCAGCAGGATCGCCCGGTCAATGTTCTCCTTCATTGCCTCCTTGGCCCGACGCGCTCGCTCCATGCCCTCGTCGACCACCTCCCGGGCATGCACCAAGCTCGAGTCCATCGCCTTCCACGCCCCATCCAACGCGCCGTCTAACCCGCGGTCCCACCCGGCGTGAGCACGAGACTCCAGCTCGACGAGAAAAGATTCCATGAGGCGGACACCGGCTTGGGCTTTCTGTTCTAATGTTTCCTTCGTGGCGAGAGCATCCTTATAACGGTCCTCCAAGGTGTCCACCAGGATCTTGGCGCGCTTCTTGCCGCTGCCCATGAGCTCTCCGGAAGCGTGAGAGCACGAGTCCCGCACGGCCTCCAAGGTAGCGTAGCCGCGACGGAGGCTGGCATCGATCTGATCCATGTGGGATTTGCCATATTGCTCAATCCACAGCATTCGTCGCTCCAGCTCCGTCAGGAAAAGTTCGACCTAGACCCCGTCAGATAAAATCCCATACACCAAAAGAGAATTCTGGCGAGTGCATACTCTCAGGAACACCGCATCTGCGTCATAATCTAAGGACAGCTTCCGAGCCGTGTGGAACGAGTGACGGCGCCGACGGTCGCGGAGTAAGCTGGTCTCCTCGGAGGGGGTTGTTGAATAAGCGGATGTGTTTGCCTCGGGATACGACTCGATGGTCATGGATTGCGCAGAGCAAGCCATGGTGTTCCGTATACCGTCTCAACCGTCAATTAAACCCGTAGCTAGTCGAGAAGATCGAATCGCATATCCTGGAGGGAACAAAGAAATAACAAGGGGAAAAGTCAGTGAGGGAAAAGACCAAGGTTGGGGGTGGAGATCGGGACGATCGGGAATCGGCGGGACGACCGAAGCAGAACATACAGCTGCAAGTTGGACAAACTAGAGAAATTCGGGTGGCTGCAAGGGACAAGCGCCTAGGTGAGTTGAGTGGAGAGGAAGAAAATGGAAAGAGAAAACAGAATAGTAATGATAATGACCCCAAAAGAAAAGGAGAGACACCTCTTAGGAGGAGAGGGAATTAGGTATTTAGGGGAACGACCGGAGGAGATAAAGAGAAGAGAAGAGGAGAGAAGAAGGGGAGGAAGAAGAAGCAGAAGAAGTAGTTAGTAGAAGAGGGGAACCCGAACAATATTAATCCCATCAATAATACTCTCTCTTTCCCCTCCCCACCAACCCTTCAGTTACTACTTGGTTCTCTTACTTGGCAAATGTCCACTTTTTAAGGCTGAACTGCTAAGAACTACTCCGTATCCTTGTTCATCCAAGGATTGGCTCTTCTATTCGCCGCCTTCCTGCTGTCAGTCTTCACTTCAGCCCATCAGCGCCCGGCTTGCCTCCACGTTGGGTCATTCTTATCGCTCTCGCCACCAGCCACCCTTCAACAAACCACCCACCGTACTTCGCTTTTGCAGTGGCAGCCAGCTGTTCCTTTCACCTGACGCACAGCAATCCCCTCACCATGGCCATTCGGGACATTGTCGTCAACGCGTCCCTGCTGCCGGTGCTCAATTTGAGCGCCGAAACCCGCGACCAATGCATGCAATTGCTCGCCGTGCTCGACCCGTCGGCTGACTCCTACTCTGACTCCGAAAAACGCGCCCTAGCTGCGTCCAAGGAACAGAAGCAGCTGTTTGCTCTTCTGGCTCGCCTGCGCGGGCTCAACCGCGATGCTATTCTACGCGTCCGAGAGACGAAGCAGGCGACCGCAGAGGCCCGCCAGGAAATCGACCGTTTACACCTGCAACTTCAGAATCTCTACTACGAACAACGGCACCTGACGGGGGAAATCGCTGCGTGCGAGTCTTATGAGTATGTCCCAGCGTAGCCACCAAAAGAACTCGCCGGATGCTGACCTCACTGTCACAGTCACAAATACCTTGCCCTTCCATTGATCCCGCTCGAAGAATTCCTGGCGTTGCACCCCGAGCATCGTGAATCGGACGAACACGATCTCATGATCGCTCGCATCAACCACGAACATGCCGAACGGGAGAAGCTGGAGCAGGCGCGACAAGAGCTTCTGAAGCGGAAACAGGCTTTGATTGCGGAAAACAACAAACGGAAGGAGGATCTGGCCAGTCTGGACCAGGATTTGGAGCGCTTTATCGACGTAAGTCTCTGTCCTAGTGAGTTTCGGACGATGTTGCTAACCCCTGGCAGGCCGCCAAGCCCATTCAGAAGATCTTCGAAAAGGAGTATTAGCGGTGGGATTATTGTCTTGTAGTTTCTTGCATGGATTGGCGCATTGGATAGATACCCAAAATGATTTGATTTGAACCAAACAAGATCTCCCAGTACGTAGCCATGCGTTTCGTGGTGGACGTGTTACATCGTAATCCTTGTGACCGCCGCCAACTGGTGGCCCCCCCTCCGCCTTCCGCCCGCCTCTCCGCAACTGCAGCTTGCAATTAACTCCAACAACTCCAACTCCCCTCCCACTCTCTCCCATCTGGTCCTGTACCAGGCTACGTTCCCTCTTCAAAGCATGTCCTGGTCATGATTGCCAAGAATGAAGACCTGTCATCATCACAGACCGTTGATACCAACCCCGATTATACCATGACCGTCAGCACCCCCTCGCCGCGTCCGCCGCCCCCGGAGAAGCCAGAGGCTATCCGGACGCGATTCAAGGTCATTGCAGCCTTCTGGGCGGTGATTATTCTTCTGGGATTCCCGATCTGGTGGAAGACCACATCGATCTTTCGAGCTTCCTTGCCCATCCCGGAAATGATTGATTGGGCCGATGGAAAGGTATGTAATTCCTGGTCGTTGAAATGCATACCTGGCTGACTGGTGTCTCTTCAAATCTAGACCTGTCGTCCTGTTTTCCCACTTCAAATCCGAGTTGAGACGCCTCACCTACCTGACGCAGAGGCCCAGCACTTGCTCCGGACGACACAACATACGCTCGATGACTTGAATGAATTCTCCGCACATCATCTGCGGCTGAAGCTATCGAACGATAATGCTGACGAGCCGTTGACTGAACCGGCAGACACGGCCTTGACAGTGCGCCTCATACCACAAGACGATCTAATCAACCCCAAGTCCGAACTCCAGCACGATATCACCCAGCTCGACGTCTTTTACTCACCAAACCAAATACCGCCCCTATCATCATCCAACCCACCGTTGTCCGCTTACATTGCGGGTGAACTTCAGCAGCTGTTCACAGAAGAGAAAGCCATCATCGCGCAAGTCCTGTCGAACACCCATGCATCAAGTGCGACAGCCACCACTCAGCCGCCTTCAGCTATGCTTTCCTCCGTGTCCCCTCAGCTCGCGGATAGTATAGCCAAGCGCCTCCGACGCTCGATGAAATACGCCGATACCTATCACCTCGCCTTTTCCTTGTTCACTCCCGGCACAGAGCCCTCCTCGTGGGACATTCAGGCCGCTGTCCACGACTATATCACCCCACTGCTGCAGGCCTTCTCTCCAATCAGCAATTTTACCGTTGACACCCAAGTTCAGTTATATGCGACGTTTGCACCTACGGCTCCGGCGCCCGAGTACGACGAAAGCCACGCAGCTTGGACCCTGAAGCCCGAAGACCTTAGCGCGTTCATCAACGCGGCCGAATGGCCTCTCAGCCCCAGCATCGGCCCGGGCCCAACCATCAACTTTATTCTCTATGTGCCTGATGCAGCGCAATCCCCCTTGGTGGTCAAGGACAGTCTCGCGACAAGCTGGGTCGTGCCTCAATGGGGCGGTGTTGTTCTTCTCAACCCTTCCAACGGCACCCAACTTCAGCATTTATCGCGCGACTCGCTTCAGGCCCCCTTTCTGACCTTTTCCCACCAACTCCTCACTCTTCTGGGCGCCCCTTCCACCCCGGCTGCGCTGCCTTTCCGACTGCAGACACTCACTCGCATTCGAGCCGCGAGTCTGCTCCTCTCTGCATCCTCTACCATGGGCTCCCTCGCCCGTCTCACCGAGTCACTTCCCTCCATCCCCATCCCTGCTACCGTGGCTGCCTCCGTGGCGACGACCCTCTCGCATCTGACCTCGGCCTGTGAGCATCTCCGAAGGGGCCGATTCCAGGCCGCGCTAGCGGATGCACGAATCGCCGAGACGGAAGCGGAGCGTAGCTTCTTCGAGAAGAGCATGGTCGGCCAAATGTACTTCCCGGATGAGCACAAGGTGGCCGTGTATCTGCCTCTATTGGGCCCCATCGGCGTTCCTCTCATTGTAGGCTTGCTAAAGGAGGTCAAGAAGGCCATAGCCTTGCGGAAGGCCAGGAAGGCTCACTGAATGAATCCGATTTGTACAGTACATAGTTTTATCCAATCATGTCTTTTCTTTCTTTCGTTTTGAGCAAAACGCACCAACATAGAAGCAATACCTCGCTAAAAAGCATACAACCAGAATTATTAATTAAGTCATGCAAAAGGCATAACCATGCAACAACGCATACCTGTCCAAAAACAGGCCCAAGGCCAAAAACCAAACGAGAAAATCGCTATTATACTCGAAAACCACCACAAAATCAACAGTATACATACATACACTCAAACATACAACCAGAAAATCATCTACCTCCGCTGCGACCCCAACCTCGAATTCCCTCTACTCAACCCACCACCACCACCACCACCCGAGCCCTCCGGGTCCTCCGAAAACGCCTCCATGGCCCTGGGATTCGTCGGATACGCGTCCGGCTTCAGGACCCCTGTGGTCGCAAACACGCCCGGCGGCGTATACACCCGAATACTCTCCGTCCGGGGCAACGCCGGGATCACCGGCGGCGAGCTGTAGGTCGCCACGCCACCTTTCCCGTCCTGCTGGGACTGCTTCACCACGAGGTTCCCGTTGATGTTGAGCGGCAACGGCGGCACCGGCACGGGGACTCGGCTCCCTCCGCCTTTCTCGGGCACCAGCGCCGTCTCGACGCCTGCACCACCGCCAACCCCCCTAGCGGTGGTGCCCTCCCGCTGGTACACGGGATTGTGTGGGTTGAACAGACTCCGGACCCGGCCGCTGGTCTTCTGGATCATGGAGCGGGATCGGGACCGCGACCGGGACCGGGAGCCGGTGGTTGTGGCCTTCGAGGCTCGGGATTGCGTCCGCCGGAGGAGGAAGTCGGTACGGTAGGCTGTCTCCTCCGAGGGCATGGGCGAGGAGATCCCGATGAGGGTGCCCTTGGAGGAGCGGTGGGTGAATTGGGCGATCTTGGCGGACGGGGGCAGGTTCTTGCGGCGGTAGTGGCGGTACAGGAGGAGGGAGAGGAGGGTGGCCGTTACGCCGAGGAGGGCGCCGGGGAAGAAGCCGGCCAGGACGGCTGCTGTGGGGTACTGCGGGCATTTTAGCTGTGTTGCTGTTGCGCTGGTGGTGGTGTTGGTGTTGTCCGCGGCTGAGGAGGTGGAGACGCGGGGGTCTGTGGCGGAGATGGCGGTTGCGAGGGAAGATGAGGAGGAGGAGGATGTGGTGGAGGAGGTGGTTGAGGAGGTGGCACTGGATGCTGTTGCGGTGGATGCGGTGGATGTGTCCATGCTGCAGAGCGAGTCCCCCGTGCAGGTGTAGCCGAAGGGACAGCATTTCGAGCCACATTTGGCCAGGCTATCGTCGAGGCGGGTGGTGTGCACGCTGTTCTTGGGGTGGGCGGTCGCGTTCTGCAGCTGTACGTCGCAGGTGATGGGCTCGATGTAGTCGCAGCTCTGCCCGGCTGGGCAGCAGATGGCGGAGCTGGCGTCGTCGAGACTGATGCAGGTGGAGCTGCTGGGGCAGCAGAAGGTACTGGGAAGACCGCTACTGGAGCATTGTGTGTAGTCGCTGGGACAGGTATCGCTGCTTCGTGGCAGCAGGATGCCAACAGCCTGCGTTGGCGATACCGTTGAAGCGAGCAACCCGAATAATAGTAGTAGTCGGGACGAGTTGCCCTTGTGCGAGATCATCGTGATGGTTGGCACGAGAGAGGACCTGGCAGAACTTTCTTGCAGTAGGATGAAATGAGAGAAGAGTCAAGAAAGAAGAGTATGAGAATTTTTGCTGGTATATCGGTTGGGCAAGGGTCGGGTGGTAAGTCAAAGAGTGTTGTGCTTCAATGAAAGAAAGTGTCTAAGACAAAGGGTTTGAGAGTGGAAGAAACGATGAGACGAGCCAGTACCAGACGAAGAGCGCTTCGAAGTGTCTTGCAGGAAGAAGCAAGTCCTGAAGAAGATCTCCCTCCCGTTGCTCGCTACATGCTGCCCAAACCTCTCTGCACGCATCATACTATCAGGATCTAAGGATCCAGGACGGTAGGTAGCAGGCGCCGAGTCCCAGAATAGCGACGAAACGTGGGGCTCATGGCCGACGGGCTAATGATGAAGAGAAGTCTAGGCGCCTTAACGGGGCCTTTGGGCTCGGACTGGATGAGAAGTCTGAATGACTGTTGCAGATTACCAGAAAGTCCGGCGCGTAGGCAGTGTGTACATTTCTATTTGAATGTTGTTGTTTCAAGCTGGGCGGTTTGATGCAGAAGTAAATCGCGGTCCGCTGATTGGCCGATGTTGGCGCCTGCTTACCTCATTTGGTCTAAGCCGAAAAGGGTAATCTCTCAATCTGGAGCGGAGGAAATTCTGCTGTTTGGAATTGCTGCTGCTTGTGTCAAGCACGACCTCCCTTAACATATTATTCCACCCCCAGATCATCATGCTGAACCGACTCCTCCGGCCGCAGTCTGCGCTGCGTGCAGCCTCCTCCCTCACTGCGGTGAGCTCTTTTCTGTGTTTCCGGCTGATTAGGCGCCTTAACTAACAGTGCGGACAGAAGCCCGTCTCCGCGCTCCCACGCATCCAGAGCCGTGCAATCCACCGTGTGCCTACCCTCGCCTACGAAGGGGAATACCGGAGCAATGGTATCTCGGATTTCATGTCACCAGAGGCGTTCGACTTCTCCTGGACGCAATACCAAACCCTCCTTGTCGACAAGCTGAACCTGTTGACGCAGGGTGAGTGCCAGCTCCGCGGACCTTGCTCGGCCCATGAAACACGCTCGGACTCTAATAAATATCGGGATCAATAGACACCATCGATGCCGACGCGAAGCCCGGAGAACTGCTGGTCAAGTACTCCCGGCGTCCGGAGATGGCCTCCGTCTTCAACTACGCCTCAATGGCTCACAATAACCACTTCTTCTTCAACTGCCTGGTACGACCCAGACCTTGAGCGAATCCGTCCTTAGCACAAAAGACACAAAGCCTAATCGCATAACAAACAGTCCCCCCGCAAAACCGAGATGCCCGAGAAGCTCGAGAAAGACATCACAGAAACGTGCTCGTCAGTCGAGTCACTGAAGCTCGATTTCCTGGCCACGGCCAACGCGATGTTCGGTCCCGGTTTCGTCTGGCTGGCCAAGAACCTGGAGCGCGAGGGGATGATGCACGTTTTCTGCACGTACAACGCCGGCTCTCCTTACCCTGCCGCGCACTCGCGCCGCCAAGGCGTCGACATGGCCACCCATACGCCTGACACCCCGCTGGGCAACCAGTACGCCGGCGCGATGGGCGCCCACGCGCCCAACCAGAAGAGCATGGCTCCTGGAGCCATCGATGTACAGCCTATCCTGTGTGTCAACACCTGGGAGCACGTGTGGATGATGGATTACGGTATCGCCGGCAAGGAGGAGTACCTGGAGCGGTGGTGGGACCGGATCAACTGGGAGGTGGTGGCTGACAACTACAACAAGATCAGCGTCAACCGGGGGGTGCGCAACAATAACACCGCCTGGGGCCGCAGTCTGGGCATGATGTCGTAGTTTCTTCCTTTTACCCCGTTCGGATGATGGTTTGATAAATTGTATTATACACATGGGTTCTCTTTCTTCCCTTTTTTTTTCTCTTTGGCATTTATGGTCTAATCAAGTACAAGCATTTTCCTTGGAATATAGACAAAAGAGAGTCTCCCTTGATTATATCTTATTATGAGCATGAACACCCTCTCTTCTATATGTGTCTAGTATCGTCATGAGATCCTGGTATCAACAAGTATCACCGTCCAACCACCTCCCCCATCCTCTTCTCGAACGCCTCTATCATGACCCCAGCCATTTGGCCCTCAACCGCACTCATCATGGTAGCATGCCACTGATTCTTGAACTCGAACCCAATCTCCAAATGCACCCTGGTCATGCTCTTTCCTCCACCCATCTCCGCAGTGACATCCGCCAACTCCCACTTGGTACTCAAATACTCGAAGATGCCTTCCTCCGCCCCGGGGAACCCAAACCCACCACCTCCTCCGGAACTCACAGCCTGCCCGTCCTTCTTCGCCACGCCAAACCGCGCCCCACTCTGCGCCGTGACCGTCAGCCGCTGGGGATCGCAATCCACCTTCGAGGTGAAGGTCTCGCTGAGCGGGCCGTAGCCCACCGTCAGGAAGGCGCGCGTCGGGTATTGTGTCGTGGGGTCGCGGTGGGTGACGGTGCTGGCGTTGAGGAAGGGAAGGAAGGAGGAGTAGGACTGGACGTCGGAGATGACTTCGAAGAGAGGGGCGGGCGAGTAGGGGAGAGTGCGGGTCGCGGTTAGGCGGCGGGTGCGGGAGGAGGAATCGTTATCGGAGCCATTGGAGCCGCTCCCCGGGAGGAAGGAGGAGAGAAAGGTTCGACGTTGTTGTTGGTTTGTGGGGTGGGATGGTCGGGGATGGATTGTGAGGGTGTTGGTGTTGCCGGGTTGTGTAGTCGTAGTCGTTATCGTTGTGGTGGCGGTGGTGGTACGGAGAGAATGTGTGATCAGTGTTGATAGTGGTTGTTGGGTGCCCTGGAGTGGTAGCTGGCGAGGGGTGGGCCTGAGGTGCCGCGTGGTGTTTAGGAGTGATGTGCGCATCTTGTTGTTCTGGAGGTTGGTGGAAATAATTGATTATGGACTTGGCGCGATGGGCGAGAAAGTTGAGGATGGGTCGCGGCGCATCGGTGCTTTTTTTCTGGGGTGCTGTAACTACAATTTGCCCGTTTGGTCCGCTTCCGAGGCGGATTTTGTTCCGCGGTTTATAGTTGCTACTGCAGTATGTAGTCATTCAGCTACTGTAAATTTGAATAAAAACTTCCCATTGAGCTGACTTTCATTCTTTGTGTCTCTTCTCATAATAGATGGGCGAGTTATTTATCTTAACATGGTTGATCTCTGTATGTCTTCCGGATGGTAACTTTGCACCAGCTTACGTCTCACACCAAATCTATATTCTGCTCTAACTGCTGCTCATCAATGCCCATCTTGGTGATCTATTTACGGCATCTTTCTATTCTCTCACAAGAGCTTTAATCAAGAAAGTACACACATTAGTACCTAGAGACTTTAGGTTCTCCTTCAGGATCATTGCCACTACCTCAACAACAAAATATATCTAGAGACTATTCACGCAGGGTGGTAGCCTCTGTAGGCAGAATTAATAAGAGAGGTCCCCCTCACTTCTTAGACTCCCTTCATTTATCCCATGTATAGAACTACAATCGAAATACTTGCCGTAGTGATCCGTCGACTTTTCCACCCAAGCTTTTGTGGCGTGGGCAAACCATGTATAGAACGAGCTCACGAGTGTATCGGACTTATTGCGGAGATAAACGCCGGGCTAGTTATCGATGGTAAGAGCGCAAGCCACCCACTTCGCCATCACAAGCTCACCTCATCTTCATCCTACCGGAAGATGTCTACATGTCATACAGAACGCCTTAACTTCAAACGACATACTTTCCTTAAATTTATTATAAGCACTGCCTGCAAAGGTACCGCCGCTCAAGATGACAGACCTACATGACGCTCTCCCCGTCCGAGAAACCAAACGCACCCGTGTTCAACTATCTTGTACAGCATGTAGAGCGCGCAAGCAAGTGTCCCAACGATGGCATCCACATCTGTCTTTCAGACTCTGTAATCTCATGAGTAGTTACTAATGCCTTCCACAGATTGAAGTGCTGCCGCGTTCACCCCTGCACCAATTGCAGGAAGCGTGGCGAGGCCAACTCCTGCACCTTTGTTGGCCGCGGACCGCGAGGCAAGGCCTCGCAAGGGCGCGCGAGTCCCACACATGTCCAGGATCGGTTGCAACACCTAGAGAACCTGATATTATCACTAACGCAGCAGAAGATGCTGGAGCAACCCACAGAGACAAATGGGGATGGCGCGGGAACCGGGGGAGAAGAGGTGAACTTCGCCGCTCTGGAATCGACCAACACAGGAGAAGCACTCTTCGCGAACTCGACCCGGATCCATACGGATGATACTGGGACTGATGAGAGTCAGCGCATACCACCGGTGGGGCTGGCGTCAAGGCTCCATCCTCTGACACCGGAGGAATCGCCGTCTGACCCCCCGGGGAAGCTTGTGGCCCAAGAAGCTGGAACGAGGTACGTTGATGGTGCTCACTGGAGAGCTGTACTGGAGGAGGTATGTTACTTGGTTCCTGACTATAACCTGTTGCCCTGTTCCTGCCTCTTTGAGTAGACCCAGCTAATTGTTGGGTAGATCAGCGAAGTGAGGGAGTATTTGCGCGAACAAGATGTACACTCAGACGATGAGCTTGCTCAGCAGGATACAAAGAGCGCGACTGCACCAACTTTGCTGTTAGGACTGCACAAACCGCTCAAAAAGGAGGAGCTGCTGGCACAAATACCGCCGCGGCCGGTGACTGATCGCCTGGTGGCACAGTGGCTTAATAGCAAAGAGCCTGTGATTAGTGGGTTCTTTGTTCTTTCACTATGTCCAGAGCAATAGAAAGCCCTACTGACACTTGATTGCTAGGCATCACGCACATTCCAACGTTTCAAAAAGAGGTAAGTACTCGGGAGGAAAAGTTTTGCTTACTATCGCAACTGACAGCAGCAGTACAATAAGTTCTGGGACCGCCCGCATGAAGTCTCCTTGCCATGGCTAGCTCTATTATCTGCCTGCATCGCAATGGCGCTTGCCTTCAATCAGCGTAGTGGAGACCCGACGCCCCTATCACCTCAGGACCCTGCTGAGGCTCAGAATTCGTTCCGCAAGCTCACAGCACAATGTCTTGTTCAGTCGAATTATACCGCGCCTGCCAGGTACAAAGTCGAGGCACTGTTTCTCTACACTATGAGCGAGTTCCTCCGGAGTGACGACGCACAAGTCGGGGTTTCCTTTCTCCTCGGTATCACAATCCGCCTGGCCATCCGAGCAGGCTACCATCGAGACCCCAAGCACTTTCCCGACATGTCGGCCTTTGACGGCGAGATGCGTCGACGCGTCTGGACCATTCTTCGACAAATGGACACTCTAATTAGCTTCCAGGTTGGCGTCCCCAGAACTATCCAAGACTGGCAACATGATGTGGAATTACCCCGCAACATATCCGACGAGGACTTCGATGAGAGCACCGAGGAACTACCCCCTTCCCGCCCTGATGAAATCTTCACGTTGATGTCCTACACCCGTGCCAAGTCACGCATCATGACTATATTCGGCAAAATCTCAGATCTAGCATATTCGCGCGAGCCCGTTATTTACGAGGTGACCCAGGCTCTCGACCGTCAACTTGACGAAGCGCACGATCAGGTGCCTTCCACTTTCAAAATGCGACCTATCAACCAGTGCATTGCGGATCCCTCCGACCTCATCTTCCGGCGATACACTGTGGAGCTACTGTACTTGAAGACGCGGTGTGTGTTGCACCGGAGGTATCTGGGCGAAGACCACAACAACCTCCGCTACGCCTACTCGCGGTGGGTGTGCATGAGCTCCTCGAAGGATATTCTTCGCCACCAAGCAGATATTCACCATGAAACGCAGCCAGGGGGGCTGTTATACCGGGATAGACTGTTCCCCAACGCGCTGCAATATGCAGACTATCTGCTTGCAGCCATGATCATTTGTCTGGAGCTGTCACATCAGCGCACAGGGACGCCGCCGCTCGGTGTAGGCACGAATGATGACCTCGCGGTGATAGTTCGGGGTCAGGAGGAGCTGTTGTCGGCGTTGGAGATGTCGCATGAGATATTCGATAAGATGCGTCGACGCTCAGCAGATGCGCAGCTGGGGTATGCCGCAATGACGATCATGCTTCGTTGGGTGAAGCAGCAGCGTTCGGGGCCGGAGGATCAGCAGCAGCCGCAGCAGCAGCAGCCAAGCATCTCAGGTGAGTACGCCAGGAGCTCCTGGATCCTTAAAGTTGCTCTGACAGAACAATGTAGCATGTCCCCCGGCATACGGAAGCTGGCAATTGGAGGGTGCAAACTCGCTAGATGCGCTGGACTTCCAGCCGATGGACGGCGTAACTCCGGGCTATGCTTCTCTGGACGTCATCGGCAATATGTTAGATACGCCTACGAACATGGATTGGGTGAGTTTAGTCTTTTGGAGAGTGATCGATGTATAGTACTAATTGACGTAGCGCCTGTGGGATCTACAGATACAGGGCATTGAGAGACCGAATCCAGGTAGTACATGGACCCAACCGGAGTTCAACGATACGCTTCAAGAAGATTAGCCAGCTACATACCACTGCGAAGGGGCAACTACAAGCCTGATTATGACTCCTCAGATAACTTGAGACGAAGTGATATAATAAGTTCTATTGCGGGAAGGCAAGCGCAAGCCAACGATGCATGACTCAGTTTAATTAAGGACGAAGGGCAGCCCTTCCATCGAACTGTAAGCGGCAGCTTCACAATTCAACACTGGTATCCTTGTAGTTCGATGATTTTGAGCTAGACTTGCCATTGGCGTAAGGTCGTATACGGATGAAGAGACAGAGCTAACAGCCTCTTGGCAGTTGGTGAGACATGCAGTCTCCAGATTCCTCGTGTGCTGCCACTCGATCCATTGGGTAGTGAGCCCGGCCACGAGAGTTGTCCTCACTGACCATACGAGACTAACCCAGCGTTCTGAAACATCCTACACTTTCACAGAGGATGAATGCCCTGCTAATGCACACCGCTATTTCTGGTTGTCTCAAAAAGCTCGCACGGTTTCGTCCCATCCCACTACAGTGCTGTTCGGCGGCAATCGCTCGCTACCTCGCTCATAATCTCTAATCTCTTCAGTCGACTGCTTCTGACTCCATGCTCCTGAAAGCATTGTCTAATATGATGCGATGCAATGCTCAATCTCAAAGATCAGCGATCGGGACCGACTCAACATCGTTCATGTTGCTGGCACAAAAGGGAAAGGGACCACCTACGCTTATGTCAATTCGATCCTCCAGCAATATCGCATGTCGTATGGAACGCCCCGTAAGGTTGGACTGTTCACCTCTCCCCATTTAATCACTGTGCGCGAGCGAATTCGTATCAACTCCGAGCCCCTGTCGGAAGCAAAGTTTGCAAAGTACTTCTTTGAGGTCTGGAATGCTCTGGAGCTTACCGCAGCAGCAGCAACACCGCGGGGCGGGCCTGGTAACACCCCTCCCAAGCCTTCATACGCTCGACTTCTCACCTTGATGTCATTCCACGTTTTTATGCAAGGGTCAGTGGATACGGCGATCTACGAAGTCGGAGTTGGGGGCAATGGGATTCACCAATGTTCTCGCGAACCCCGCGGTTACGGGAATCAGCTCCCTCGGAATCGACCATGTTAATGCGCTCGGGAATACGATTGATCAGATCGCGTGGCATAAAGCAGGAATTTTCAAGAAGGGTTGTCCGGCCTTCACGGTACCTCAGGTCCCAGAGGCGATGGATGTGCTGCAGGAACGAGCCATCGAAAGGGGGAACTCACCTTAACATTGTTGTAGTACTCGCTTCGGTCCACGGCCTTGACATCAAGCCCGCAGAGCATTTTCAGAGGCAAAATGCTTCTCTCGCTGTTAGGTTGGCGGAAACTGTGCTCACAAGGCTCGGGATCGCCGCCGCCGATGATTGCTGCGAGTCCGACAGACTTCCTGCTTTGTTTGGTCAAGGGCTTGAGAACCTGGATTGGAAAGGGAGATGCCAGGCCTTGGTTACGGGTCAGCAGCACTGGTATCTGGATGGTGCTCACACCCACGAGAGCCTTGAAGTCGCCTGCTCTTGGTTTGGACGGGTATCAGGGACCAGAAACCTGCCACAGGTGCTCATCTTCAACCAGCAGCATTCATCAAGGGATCCTATCGCGCTACTCAGAACTGTTCATCGGATCCTATACACCAAGCTTGGTTTTGTCTTTCAATACGCGGTTTTCTGTGCGAATAGCACGTACAAAGACCAGTCTTGCAATCTTGGTGTGTGAATGAACTCTCCCGTTGGGCAGGCAGGACTTTGCAAGAAACGACGCTAATAAGCATGGTCTTAAAAAGAGTTGTATAACCACAATGTCAATCCTGATGCACTTCAGAGATTGATCCTACAGAAGAAGTTAGCGACAGTCTGGAAAGAACTGGATCCTGACTCGGAGGTGGCGTGGCTGCCCTCGATTGAAGATGCCGTTGACTATGTCAAAGAGATTCACAATGGAGCTTTCAAGGAGCCAGGGGCAGAGATTTTGGTTACGGGTAGCTTCCATCTGGTTGGGGGAGTGCTGTCACTTATAGAAGGAGTGCCACGTATATTGGAAACAGCTGTGGAGTATTAACTAGTTAGTAGTAGGAGTGAGTGGTGTTGTCACCATCATCGACCATTTACTTTCGGATAGTGATTAGTAGTTATTTCTTGCTCTTTGCTAGATATTGTGTAACCACAGTACTCATGTGCACAGTACTGTACCCATAGTGTTGAGCATATGTCACATGATCGAGACCCCTGGTTTCTTTGTTGCTCTTGTTTCTTTGTTCCTGCGCACCCCCGCTATTCCTCTCTTCCCTTCTCCCAATCCAGTCCTAACTGATCCTTTTGCTAGTAATTTGCTGAATGGAGCAATCCTCACGGCCTACAAAGCAAGCAAAGCACTGCAATCTTCTCCTAAGGCCCGGCTTTACTTCTCGATGAGAGCACACTATGATGAGGCGCATTAGGCGGCCTCTACTGCAGCGATCGAATCCACCTGGATTAGCCTGGGTTCGTTGTGCTCGCTTCTCTTTACCAGCGCACTTGACGACCGCCAAAGAATCGTACTCAACCATGCCTTCCAAGGCCGATATCACCAGAGTGTGTTGCTTGGCTTCATCCCTGCTTGACGACGGGTCTTTCAATTGTAGATGTGTGGATATAATCGAAGGAAAGTCCCACCGGGCCTTCCTGCTTACCATGGATGATGGGCGTGAAGTTCTTGTGAAGACACCTCGGACAGTTGCTGGATCAGATTGCTTCGCGATTGCCTCTGAAGTGGCGACGCTCAAAATCTGTCTGCTCCCTCCTCCCGCAACGCAATATAGATCCCTTTCATGCTGACGTCCCCTTTCAAGTGCGTCAGTTGACGTCCCTGCCGGTTCCACGCGTCCTTGCGTGGAATGCAGACTCGGCAAACGAAATCGGGTTGGAATATATCATCATGGAGAAGACTCCCGGGGTCGGCTTGGATGGGATCTGGGAGGGGCTGAGCACTCTGCAACGGTACAGTATTATCGAAAAGGTCGTCGCTATGGAAAAGGAGCTTGCCTGTCTGAAGTTTCCGGCTTATGGAGCACTCTATCTCCGGGGCTCTGAGCCTGCTAAACTGAGGTATCATCCCGTCTCGGACGCGCTAGACAGCCCAGACTCTTTCTGCATCGGACCGTTGTGTAATGCGCGCTCAAAGCAGGGTAATGTTGAATCATCCCGGGATTCAGGCACTTCCGGCCCCTGTTAGTGGTCTCTTCCTTCCGCCCCCCCCCCCCCCCCTTTCGGTTCACCCTGACATCCCCAACATCTCTTAATTGTTGTTGTAGGGGCATCACTCGCAGAGTTTGCATCATCGTCAACTCAATTAAAGACAAGGATAAAGCAAACCTGTCAAAAGGATGACGGGGGCGAACTTCAATCCACCATGCACGAAAACCCCGACCTTCCGGACCCAGAGGGCCAGGACTTGCTTGAGAGCATTTCCATCATATTACCTATTTTATGCTCGGATCATCGCATTCTGAAGGTCTCCAAGCCCACCTTATGGCATCCAGGTCTATCGCTTGACAATATTCTCGTTTCGGCCACTGAGCCTACAAGAATTCTTGAGATAATCGGCTGGCGGTCCGCCGCGATCCTCCCCCTGTTTCTCCAATCGCGATTCCCCAGGTTCTTAGCAACCCCTCCCAACTACCATCCTGGCGATCCGCTTCCCAGCTTAGCTGGGTTCGCTTCTTGGAGTCCGGAGCAAAAGCAAAGCGTCCTCCAGGTACAAGATATACTGGCTCGTTCCAGGTATTACGAGATGTGCATAATGGAGCACGACAGTCACTTGACACATGAGGCGATGAATCTGGATCGCAACCTGAGTGGCCTATTTCGATGTCGAGATTCATTGGACCTGGCTGATGGGGACTCGAAGCTCCGTAGCCATTTGAATTCTATAGCTGCCAATTGGACCGGATTAGGCCTGCCAGGGACCTGTCCTGTCACGATCCGCGGCGGGAAGAGCAGGCAGTGCAGCATGCGGTGGGAGGGGGTCTCACGCTCTTGACGCCTGTTATGGAGAAAAGCTCGGGGGACTCCCTTAGAGGCAGTTGAATGTCCTGCTCAGATTAGCTAGTAAGTAATGTCGTAAGGGCGTTGCTCCCCATCTTTTGCCTTCTTCGTAACAACCGGCCCTGGAAGAAGTTTCATGAGACTTTTTTCAGGTTTCGATGCCAATAGCCTTAGCTAGCTCGCACTGGATATAGAGTCTTTCACAATCTCATTGCTTTCAAAATGGTGAAATCGGCCTATACACATGACTTGACCCTGTAAATAGCATGCCGAATCTCTACGGTACATTACACCAAGGCTCTTTGTGATTCGAAATCTAAAACCTTCCCTACTTTGTCGCATGTAGATTGCGGAATATTTACTATGCCCACCTAAGCACGTGCCCTTACCATCCTCGCACTTTAGATGCGACTTGATACCGAACTTTGGTGACTGACTGAGCCAGCAGCGGGGAGTATCGTAGACCGAAACTCAGCAAAGGTATTTCCTAACTATTTTCACGAGGTTCAGGAACACACTGCGTGCCATCTTCTAGAGTACGAGTAGTAAAGTGGATGCATAATCTCCACAATGCCATTAGGAATCATCCCGGATCTTCAACTGCCAACCGTCACCCGCGCCGGAAGATCCGTTCCCACCCGTTGCACCCATTCCCACCGGGTATCATCCCAAGGCCGGGCGGTGATCATATACCTCCTTAAATTACGATATCGATATGTATCGATCCACGTAGGCTTGATTCGCATGCAAATGGAACTGAGTAAGTGTTGTGTATCTACAGAAGAACCAATCATCCCTCATCAATAAAAAGAATACTGTATATCAATGGCCCGAAGCACGTAACCCCCCCCCCCCCCCCCACCAACAAAAGAAATCCCAAATCCGGCTCCGCTGGCCCTCAGCCAAACCCCGTAAAATTGCTCAACAGGGAGTCCCACTGGATGTCATCGACGGGGAAGATATCATCCAAGTTGTCGTCGCCGTAGACAGACGGCCAGATCTGGGGTGGTGGTGGAATGGTAGCCTCATTGGCGGCGTCAACCGCCATCATCGACGGATCCTGCCTTGAGTCTGTGGGTTGGTTAGAGGGCACAGTCGCACTGCCCAGAACAGCCCGGATCTGGTAGGGATAGCACCGGGCGAGAAGCCGCATTTTCAAGCACAGGCTGCCCGTGACGTCCGCCTCTTTGGCTGCCGTCGCCATGCCCTCGAACTGCGTGTCCAGCGCGTTGGCGAGCTCGGTGATGAGATTGGGATAGTCGGCTGCGCCGACAACGGCCTGTACTTGGGGTTCTATGGCGGAGTCGTTGTTGGTGGGGCCACCGAGGGTAGTGGTAGTGATGAGCCGCAGTAGGGTAAAGACGGCGGTGGGCACGTAGCCGACGGCGGCGCATACATGAGCAGTTGTTGCGATGTTCACCTGGGCGATCTCCGACACGGGCAGCTGGCTGGCCGTGCGGATGAGCTCCTTGCTTCGCTGGATGAGGTCCATCAGCATCGTCGTCCGGACTGCGCTGGCGGGCTCGGCGGTCCACAGGTCCTCCCGCAGAGATAGTTCCTCGAGCCGCAGCTCGGCATATTCGATCTCAATGCGGAGTGCATTCGCTGGGGTCGGAGGTCTGTGTCAATTTCCATCGAACTACCCCCGAAAGACATATGAGACGCACCTGTCGATGAAGGGTAGCTTGAGAGATCCTTTTCTATGCCCGCGCTCAGGCTATCGAATTGCCGCCGTAGAGCGCCGCGCGTAACCTGGACAAGCATACTTCCACCGCTCGCTTGTACCGAAGCGTAAACTTCATCCATTGTTAGCAAGAAGGACTCTAGGCGGATGAACGGCGCAATCCACCGATCCGACGGATGCTCGGCAGATGCTAACCCCGCGAGGCACTCCTCGGTTCGACTATCATGCTTCATGGTAATGGGGCGGTCGAGCGTGCTACAGACACTGATGTAACGCAGAGTCAGCCAAAAAGAGAGCATTCAACCCGCACAGACAAGCTCACCCAACCGATACCCAGAACGTACCGAGCAGCGCCCGCTGCTCATCGGCACTTAGGGCCGGCTTCCTGTGCAGTCCCAGATCATGCACCATCGAAACACAAAACTGGATCAACAACAATAGACGCGGATGGTTCTTCTCTGCCGGGTACGAGTACCATGCGCAGTGCACCAACAGACCGCGGAGCAACTCGAGATTCCGCTCGGAATGTTCCACGACCCTGCAAGTGACGTGCTTCATGATCTCCGCGGCGACAGCCTTGCGCAGCGGATGCGCACTGCCGATGGTCGCGGCCACGACGCACAAGAACAGGAACGGCTCGCGGGCCCGGAGGCAAGCGGCTGTCTCGCCGTGGGCGAGCACGACAAAGGGGAAGGTGAGCACGAAGTCGCGCTGGAAGGTCGTGACCAAGCGCTCCGCCTCGGCTGCACTCAAGAGTCCTCGCTCGACGAGGGACGGCTGGCCCGCCAACGCAGAGCCGGTCGGCGGATCGAGGCCGTGCGAGGCGTCTTTGGCCGCGTCTAGCATCGCGGCAATGTCTGTCGAACCCAGATCTGCATCTGCATCCGCTTCCCGAGATGAGACCCCATCGTGGGTGGTGGTGGGCGTAGTAGTCGACGTATCGTCCGACGATGTGTGTCTGTTCGGTTGAGTCAAGGCAACCAGCTGCGACATCAGCTGTTCGACCTTCCTCTCTAGCACCTCCACACGGCTGCATCCATGGTTCTAATGATCAATACCCGCGAGTGCTATAGTTATGTATGTGAGGAGTGTGGGTGGGGGGAAGTGGGGACATACCTCGGTGCAGCAGCCTTATGCCTCCGTTTTGTCTGCGGAAGGTCTAGATACGTGCATGATTTGCCTAAGCGAGCGCATCGCTGGCACATGTTGACGGTCTGCGGCGTGCATTTTGCCTTGGCCGCGGTGCATGTTACACATGCTCTTCTCTTGACTGCAGGTATCGTGGCGTTCATCATGTCACGTAAGGAGGACAGGGAAAGGAGCGGCCGGTCGAGTTGGATCGACCGATCCCTGCCCGCCCGTCCGTCTCAGCTTGCTAAACAATTGGTCCGGACGGAAACGGATCGTCCGGTCGGAGCGGGTTGGATTCCCGCCCACTCTATAAGCATCACAGTATACGAGAACCTAAAGAGTATATAAGGAAGTGAAATCGAAACAAATTCACACGATCATATCAACAGCACATCGCACAGCAATCCCACCCATTTGAGCAAAGTCATCTGAACAGAGCATCTCCCCATTCCAATCGAAGAAAATGGCTTCCTACGCTATCACCGGAGCCTCCAAGGGCATTGGCCGCGAGTTCGTGCGCCAACTCGCCGCCGATACAAACAACACAGTCCTGGCCATCGTGCGAAACCCCGAGTCGCCCGAGATCGTCGACCTGACCTCCAAGCACCCCAACGTGCACGCCATCAAAGGCGACGTCACGGACCCCCAGTCGATCCTCCAGGCGGCCGCGGCCGCAGCCGCCGTCACCGGCGGGACGCTCGACGTGCTGATCCACAACTCCAATGCCGTGGATGCGGCCTCCATGTCCTACACCCCGACCCAGATGCCCTTTGATGCGCAGGCCATGCGGGCCAGCTTCGAGCCGTCGCTCAGTACGAATGTCTACGGCGGTCTCTGGGCGACCAACGCCTTCCTGCCCCTGATCGAGAAGGGCACCCAGAAGAAGATCGTGCACATCTCCACCGGGATGGCCGATACGGCTTTCATCAAGAAGGCCTCTGTCAGCGTGGCGGTCACGTACTCGATCGCCAAGGCCGCTGTGAATGTTCAAGTCGCCAAGTACGCCGTAGAGCTGGCGCCGAAGGGCATCAAGGTGGTGGCGGTGAGCCCTGGCTGGGTGGATACGTGGGAGGGTAAGTAGCTTTGCCCTTGCTGCAGACAAGATAGATCACTGATATACCATCATTGCAGGAGAGAAACCCGCTCAGGTGGTGGAAGCGGATAACTTCTTGCTGAAGCAGTTCCAGGCAGCAAAGCCTGACCTCGAGGGAAAGATTCTGCCGGAGGAGAGTGTTAGAAAGGTCCTTCAGGTGGTTGAGCATCTGGATATTGAGGATAGCGGCTTATTCTTGAGCCACAATGGAGATCAGGAGAATTGGTTCTAAGTGCTCCGGATAGTGATGAGATGAGATGAGTGGCATCCGGGGGACTGTACAGTTTGTACCGTATTGACCGATTCTTTCTCGTGTCGATACTTTCCATTGAGTAACATGCATTTGCTCCGTCCTACCTTGTACGCATAATATTATCAGGATAGAGGGCCACATTAATTGAAGTATATAACATCATGCATGAATGTGTCGACTGTGTTGTTACTTGATCATGTCGTAGTAGTGATAAATAGATAGGACGGAACAATGTGGCTCCGACCCGGAGGAAAGTGATGGGTTGCAGAGCAGCCTCCGATAGCTTCATTCCATCTCTCTGATAAACAACGATCCAGTTTCTTTTTTCGGATCGCAACCCCCGTCAATCGTCATGTCGTCCTTACTTGGAGCTGGCTATGAGTCAAGCGACGATGACACCACTCCCTCCGCCCCTCAGACCCAACCCCCGGCGCCGTCTGCGACCAAGATTGTCGCCGCGCCCGAAGTGAACACAGAGGTTTGGTCCCTTGAGATCCGTCTCTCTGCTGGATGGCCTTGGAGGAATTCGAACCCTCCTCGCCACCTTACAACACCTCCAAAAACCTCGCATTGCTAACAGTCCTACAGGATCAAGCACACATGCAGATGATGCTGGCCAATACCTCCTCTACCGCCCTGACCTACAACGCCACATACGATGACCTCTCCCGACCATCGCAAGGCCCGGCCAACCCGTTCAAACCCATCGGAGGGGCCAACGGCCTCAAGCGCAAGAATGTTCCCACCGGATACGCCGAAGAGGCCGCTATCAGCGAAGCGACCTTCACGGCGCAGCACCGCACCTTCCAGAGTCTCGGCTACACGCGCAACCCGACGCAGCCCGAGCAGTTCGTCGGCAACCTCGCCCACGCCGCGCAGTTCGGCGGCCGCGACGTGATCCAGATGAAACCGTCCAAGGCCGTCTCGGCGGCGCTGCGCTCCAAGCGGCAGCGGAAGGGCGACCCGAGCATCGTCGAAGGGGAGGGCGCCTACCTCGGCCCGTGGGCGAAATACCAGTCGGACGACCACTACTACGACGAGCGGGCCGTGGAGGGCGACGAGGCGGAGGATCGCGAGCTGGCCAGCGACGAGGAATACGTGTACGAGGACGAGGTGGACGCAGCCCAGGCACCCCCCGCGCACATCCCCCCACCCATGGACAAACTGGCGACCGACTACCAAGACGATTCGACCACCGCGGAGACGACCGAGTTCCACGGCAGCGAGCAGTTCGACTACCAGGGCCGGACGTACATGCACATCCCGCAGGATCTGGACATCGACCTCCGGCGGGAGCCCGGCAGCACGAAGAACTTCATCCCCAAGAAACTCATCCACACGTGGAAGTCGCACACCAAGGCGATCACCTCGCTGCGCTTCTTCCCGCGATCGGGCCACCTGCTCCTGTCGGCGGCCGCCGACGGCAAGGCCAAGATCTGGGATGCGTACCACTCGCGCGAGCTGCTGCGGACCTTCTCGGGCCACAGCAAGGCGATCACGGACACGGACTTCCACCCGACGGGGACGACCTTCCTCACAGCCTCGTACGACCGGCAGATCAAGCTCTGGGACACCGAGTACGGCAAGTGCGTGGGCCGGTTCTCGACGGGCAAGACGCCGCACGTCATCCGGTTCAACCCGGGCCCCGACCTCTCCCACGAGTTCCTGGCCGGCATGTCCGACAAGAAGATCGTGCAGTTCGACACGCGGTCCGGCGAGCTGGTCCAGGAGTACGACCACCACCTGGCGGCGATCAACACGATCACCTTCGTCGACGACAACCGGCGCTTCATCTCCACCTCGGACGACAAGTCGCTGCGCGCGTGGGAGTACGGCATCCCCGTGCCGATCAAGTTCATCGCCGAGCCCTACATGTTCGCCCTCACCCGCGCCACCCCGCACCCCAACGGCAAGTACGTCGCCTTCCAGTCCGGCGACAACCAGATCGTCGTCTACGGCGCCACCGACAAGTTCCGCCAGAACCGCAAGAAGAGCTTCCGCGGCCACAACAACGCCGGCTACGGCATCGACATCCGCATCAGCCCCGATGGCCAGTTCCTCGCCTCCGGCGACAGCGCCGGCTACGTCTGCTTCTGGGACTGGAAGACCGGCAAGATGTACCACAAGATCCTGGCCGGTGGGAAGGAGGGCGGCGCCACCACCTGTCTCGATTGGCATCCCCAGGAGACCAGCAAGGTTGTTACCGGTGGCTTGGACGGGATTATTCGCTATTGGGATTAATTTTCTTTTATGGGCCTTATCTATCTGTTTTTTATTCTTTCAAGGCATACAAGGAGTTTATGGTATAATGTTGCTTCCATATGAAGGTCTTTTTTTTTTTTTCTCCTCTTTTTCCCATTGTCACGTATAGGTAACCCCACTAACTTATGTACTATGTACTGTAGAATCTGCAACGCTTAACGTCCATAGACTTTCTTCCTCAAGTTGCTGGCTGGCCTAGCACGGAGGGACATAGGAAAAAGAAAGATGTATACACCCAACTGACAGCCTTAGCCACTTGCCTGAATGACTCCCCAACCAATTCTCACCGCTAACAGGCTAGAATATATTCCGAGTAACTGTACATATACACACAAAGTAGATGCTCCGATCCACCCTGACAACTACCCCAAATCGAACTGCAAATCCACACTGACGACCGACTCAACTCAACTCGAACAGCAGACTCGAACGAGACCCCTAGAAACTCGCCATCTCGATCCAACTCGCCACGAACGCCAAGGTGCGGCCGCGATCCATGGCCATGCGCTGCGCGAACTCCTCGAAGTTGAGCTTGGCGCCGCTGCCGCCGCGCTCCTTGGCCTCACGCTCAATCCTGTTCAGGTACGCCCAGCGCGACAACGTGACCGGCGACGGGGGCAGGGTCGGACTGGGTCGTTTCGGGAGGGTGGAGGACGGGGGCGGGAGGGGTTGGATGGGCGACGGGGAGAGTTTCGGGGCGGTGGCCTCGGCGTCGGGGGAGGAGGCGGGGAGGTGGGAGGTGGGCGCTGGGAAGGAGGTTGAGCCGGTGGGGTCGAGGCGGAGCTCGGTGGGAAGGTCGGTGCGGTGGCGGGAAAGGAGGGCCGGTGATGGGGATGGTGATGGGCTGCGACTGCGGCTGATGGTTTGGTGGAAGGTGGTGGTTGTCGTGAGGAGGTCTTCCTCGTTGGGACGGTGGTGGGGGAGTGTAGGATCGTAGTATGATGCCGCGGCGGACGAAGGCCTACTCGCTGCTGCTGCTTCTTCTTCTTCGGAGGCAACAGAGGAGGCAGAGAGGGAGGGCGAGGAGGGAGAGATTGCGTGAGGCGGTATCCAGTCCTCGTTGTCCGGAGATTCCACGGGCATATTCAATGGTGAGGCCAATGCTGCTGCTGCTGCTGCTGCTGCTGCTGCAATAGGTCTTGTCTCGGTAGGGTCGATGAGTGACTCTACCGAGTCATCAGGGATATGCAAGTCTGGCGTCGGAGGAGCCAAAGCCTGCACGTTTTCTAGCCCCTCGACGGCGTATCCTGCCCGTTGGAGGAGGTCGTCGAGCGAGCTGTCACGGAGCATGTTCTGCATGGCTGCCTCTGCTCCCTCCGGCTCATCGGCGTCCTCATCGGCTTCAGATTCCGGCCGCACAACGGGAAGGTCTTGAGCAGCCTGTTTACCATGCTCCATCTGTTCGGTATGCTCAATCTCACGGGCCCAGATTTTACGCTCGGCACGAGTCTCGTAGACCTCCATGAGCAGGTCCTCCTTCTGCTTGAAGAGGATGTCGAGCAATTCGTTGAATCCTTGTTGGGTGACTTGATACAAGATCTCCTTTCCAACGTCCCTTTCCACTTCAGGAATTTCGAAGCCGCCCCATCGCTCACTCACGAGAATGCTTCGCGATGAGGTCGATGGGTTCGATCTCACGTCGTAGTCGTCCGTCAAATCATCCTGGAATCGCACCTTAGATGAGGAGCGAGAACGAGGGGACGGGGGGTGTGATTCCGATGCGGCTGCGTGTGATTCATCGCCCTCGTTATCTTCTTCTTCCTCTGAACTAGCCGCGTCCATGTCGCTTTGATAGCCAACAGGGGCGGTGGCACCATCTTCTTCGTCCGTATAGAATCCCCGCCGTCTCCATCGGTCATGAACTCCCATTCGGCGCCTGACGTGGAGACGAACTTGATCCGTTGCATACATCCTGTTGTATACGGCTGTGCCGATGCGAGCCCGATCAACAGGATCTGTGATCTCATGGACCGGAACATAAGCTCCGAGAGCACTGACGATGTCCTCATTGCGGATGTGCTCCGGAGGAGGCCAGCGGTCGCTGGCTCCGGACGAACTGGACGCATCATCAGCTGCAGCCCCGGCTTCTTCAATATTCGTCTCTCTTCTCGGTTGGCTTCCAGAAGCATGAGCAGAACCGGCAACAGAGTGGCGCGTCGTCGGCAACACCGGCCGTGTGACGCCATAATAGCTTCGAACGGCAGCATCGCCAATCACCGAGTAGCGGTCCCCAGTATCGGTCCCATCGAGACGAAGTACACCCTCGTTGTCAACAATCTCGAGATCTCCGTCATGATTGACTCGTTTCCCCTCGCCCGTCCGTGAGGGTTCCCCATTGGGAATGCTACCAGGAAACGCTGAACTGATCGGCTGGCTTCCAAGAACGACATCCCGAGCGCCGCCTTCCAGGAAATCATCCTCCAAGCCGGCAACCATGTCTCTGGTCAGCTCCCTGCTGAGGGCGTAGTAAGCTCGGAAAATCCGCAAGAAATCCTTCCGCTCAACGAAGCCATCATTATCGATGTCATAGCCCCGGAAGACACGGCGAAGCCGTTCGTCATTACTCTTATTATTCAGACTCGCAATCCCCTTCAGGAACTCCTCCAGCCCAATCAGCCCGTCATTGTTAGTGTCGTAGAACGCGAACATGCGATCATAAATCAGACTCGGGGGCGGAGGCCTAAGAGAAGTGTTCGGCACGAAGCACCGATCGAACGTCTTCCGGTCGATAGCCATATACACCTTGTTCGGATCGTCCTCCCATTCGTGATTTGCCAGACACCGGAACTGATCCCACAGCGCGTCCAGCTCGGTATTCTCGAACCCGGTTTCCTTCATCAGCCGCTTGAACAACGATCTCGGCAAGCTGCGCGGCATCATCGTGGGCTTCCCTGGATACCACACCGGCTGCGACTGACGTGGACTTCCAAGGAATGGCGCGGGGATGCGCACCTTGTAGAACATGTGCGTCTTGATATGGACTTGCATGGCTTCACACGTCTCACACAGATCATAATCGATGCAGTTCGCACACCGATACCGGATGCCCTGGATCGGCATCGCACCGCAGCTATTACACGTCACCCCGCGGTGAATATACCCATCCCTCCTCGCCTGGTCTTCCGCGATGTGATACAGCAGGTTCAGCAGGTTCTGGCCCTCCCGCATCGGCGCCGCCTCATTGTTGTGTTCCGCGCCATCGCGCCACGAGAAGACGCTCTGGTCATCCACGACCGTCTCATCCCCACCGTCCGCCAGCGCAGTATTCGGCGCCGCGGCCGTTGGCGACTGGCCTTCCTCGGTCTCGTACGGAAAGCTCGACGTCGACAGCGTGACTCGCTCGCCATTCTGCCGTCGTCGCCGCAGATCCGCCCCGTAGTTATCGTCCGCATTGAACCGTACCAGGGCCCGCTCGATGCCCGCGCGTGAGATCCCCCGCCGCTGGAGTTGCTCGATCAGATACTCCCGCTCGGGGCTGCCTTCGTCCAGACGGTGACTGGACGGAAAATCCAGCGCGAGGAAAGACTCTAGAAAAGTATCTTCCATCATCTCCCGCATCCGTTCCGCGTGGTCCTGGGGCACCCCGACCTGCTCCATGAGCTGGTCTCGCGTCGCTAGGAGAGAGGGGAGGAGGCCGCTTTCCACGCGGCGACCATCTTCGGTCTCGATTCGGAAGGTTCCGTAGACACCATTATGGCGCTCGAGTTGTTCGAGGTGCGCGATGGCGCGCGATGAGGGAGTGTCCGCCGCGGCTGAGAAGGGCTCATCAGGGTGTTCATTGTTACTGCTGTTGTTGCGTCGCTGGCGGCGCACAGCGCGGCGGCGATGAAGTCGTGAGCCACCAGGAGAAGGATGTGCGCCAGTATCCCCGGGGTGAAGGAGGTGTTGCCGTATGTAAACGATTGCGTAGGCTGCTGCTACACCGGAGAGAAGGTAGAGAATTGGACGGTATCGTGACAAAGCCAACCTAGGGCGGGCGTCCGACATAGCGGCCAAGGAAAAAAGCGGATTATTAGGCGACCAGAAGCATTTCTGTCGATATCAGCCTGCTTCGGTAATGAAATCTGCAGGGTACGGGATCAGGTGAACAGAATTTTGACACGTAGTGACACAAGGTAGACAGATTGGATGATGCGGGCTTGTTGAGGTTCTCCGGCGACTTGGGCGGGCGGAAGCCGCGGTCATGACCGCCTTTGGGGTACGGAGTGCCCGCCGAGTTCGAGAATGCTTTGTCTACAATGACCGAGAGGACCATATTTCTATAAGAGCCTATTGATGAGTACGGGTTAGTCATGACCATACCTGACATCCTAGAGGTCTACAAATCATGCCAAACTACCCCATCCGAGCCATCTGGAGATGGATGGTACTGGAGATCACCTAGGGTATCGTACGCTCTTCATTGTCACACCGCTGAAGGTATATACAGCATTATTGAAGACATCAACAAGGAATATAACAATATCAGAGAGCCAAAGCAAAATAAAGCAAATCAAGTTAGACACACACACACATAGCCTCAAGGACCAAGGCCTTGACGCACGATAGGAGGAAGCTCCTCCATCATCCACTCCTCGAGTTCGGGATTAAAAAAGCCAAAACCGCAGTAGCTCAAATTCACCTTCACATTGTCGTTGTCGTCAATGATAATCTTTCATAGTCACGTCATACACAAGTTCTCCTGCTGCAGGCGCCCGGTCGCATCGAATGCACCCCAGCGGATATCTGCAGTGTAGCGAATCCAACCCAATCGGAATGCAGCAGCGAGGTTGATACTTGCAGAACAATGCTTCATCCAGGCCGTTTCAACGAAAGGACAAGGCTTGACGCCCCGCGATACATTAGCCCGGGCGGCCGTTGCGCATCGCGTGGTCCGCCTTGTTGCGAATTCAGTGCGACTCGTCGCGGATAAGAGCAACGATCATGCTGTAGAGGTAGAAGAAGAACATGATCAGGTGGAAGCCCAGCTTGATGAAGGATTCCTATAGTTGTATGATGGTTAGGGGCACTTCGCCAAGAATGTGTGACGTAAAGCCGATGGGCGAGGCAAACCGACCTTCTTGTGCACGTTCAGCTTGCGGAAGATCTCGGTCGCATCCAACAAGTGCTGGTTCTCGTAGATCCTGTGGCAGGGGAAATGTGGTTAGCGAACATGTCGAAAGACCCGTTGCGCCTGCGAAGGCGGTGGTTGCAGGAGTAACGCACTTCTTGGCATTGAACGCCAACAGAGGCAAGTTAAGTACAATAGCGACCCAGTAGCCATTGATGACGAAGAGGATGGTAAGGAATGCATGAACAGCAGCTTCGGGGATAATGTAAGCGTTGAGACGGTTGCAGAGATCGATCGGGTTAATGTAGTCGCTGTAGAAGAAGAGTCAAGTTAGCTGTCGCTCTTCGAATAGATTCCGTCACGATGCATACGCCGAAGCAGTCAGATCACAAGCCCGTCTTGGGTTGATGCCAGTCAAAATGTGCAGGGGATTGAGTTCTTACCATTCCAAGTCGCTGTACATAATCGTGAAGAAGACTTGAAGGAACAAGTTGACGGCGTTGATCAACACCGCCAACAGATAGAGCCAGGCTTCACCGGACATGGTGGGCAAGAATATGGGGCTGGGAGAAAGCTATTGAAGACCGCAAGAGCAAAGACTCAAAAGAATAGAGTAAGAGACGTGCTAAAAAGCAATAGAGGCCGACGGTAAGCGCTATTACGAGAGGAAGACCAAAGGAAGAGAGGAGAAAAGAGTAGTAGGGGAAGGTGGAGGATGCGAGCAGGTGGTGAAGTTCATAAGTGAGTCGGTTGTGGATTCGCCCCGATAGGGAAAAGCCGCGAAGGGAAGCTGGCCAAGGCGGTGAACCGGTCTGGGGAAACAGTTGCCGCTTATGGCATCCTCAGCATGTCGCCCGGACTGACGTACCAGTATACTACGACTGCGAGCCTGGGGAGCAGAGAGAACGATAGATCAATTTTGATGAGAGGAAACTGTATCCTTCTTGCAATCTCATCCAAGCGACTTTATTCTCAGTCAGTTCTTCCACATCTACCCCACCTGTTGGGTCCGAACCCATCTCAATAATCACGTGCAAACTAGCCTGCCATGATGCTTGCTGACTGCCAATGACGTGGGGGAACACGTGCTTCGTTCCGCAAAGGGATGGCTTGCTACAGGGTCGATCAGGATCAAATGAATAACCATTCGTCTATATACAGTATACTGGTCATTGACAGCTTGGAGTTCATGACTTCGAAAATAAAATTGAGAACGACGAAAGAGAGAAAAGGTCGCATAGAAGAGGTCTCATCAACGTATTCCATCATACAAAGTACATAACGCAAGAAAATCCTAGAAACAAACCCTCCAGACAATATGCGACCGCATTGAGGCCACACCTAGGATTCCGCTTGAGTGAGATATGCTGCTGTCACCGCTTCTCAACAAGTAAGATATGCATCGCGCCATATGCAATCACAATGAAGGCGCCGGAGATGACGGCCAGCCCGATAACATCCTTCCACAAAGCAAGGGTATCGAACCCAAAAGCACTCAGAATCGAGGCGCCCGGAACTTCTATATCCAATCCATACTTGTGATCGATTAAGGTCAAATACGTCACTTCGTTGACAATCAATGCCTCAAAGCCGTAGTGGAAAATAGATAGCTAGACGAGCGGTCAGCAGAGTACAATGAGGAGATACTTATTGGATTGGTGGCAAACTTACCGTTTGTAGCCACAGAGCAGACTTGGGAATCGCGTCGTGGTTGAGCAGAAGACCAGCAAACAGGAGGCTGAACAACATCACGAGACTTCCGATCAAGTTGGCCACTCCTCCGTCACGGAAGATAATACCAATGAAAAGACAAATGTTGGCGGCGGCAAGATTAAAGAGCACCAGCACCAGAATGAACCGGAAGAACTCGCCCCAAGCTGGAATCAGACCCGTCATTGGGTACACAATCATTCCCATAATGATTGGTGGCAGAAGTCGGAGAGGTACGATGTCAAACACCACTTTAGCCGCAAAATAGGTAATCGGGTGGTAGTAACCATTGGCTCTCTCACGCACGAAAAGAAGTCGCTCCGATGAGAAGACGGTAAGACTAGTAAGGGTACTGAAACCGAATAATGCCAGGATGAAAAAGAACAAACCCAGTCGGTTCTGGAAGCCCTTGATGTCGTCAGTCAGTCCATAGAAGAGGTAACCACACAGGACAGCAAGCAGAATGGAGATCGCATAATGGGTAAGCATCAACATCGGATTGCGGTACAGGTTCCTCCAGGTCCGCTGCGAGAGAATCAAGAACTGGCGGAAGAGGCCAATCCGAGCATAGCCCTTAGATGTTGCAACCTGAGGAGCAGACAGAGCTTCCGGGTTGGCAAATCCGTTGGCCGCCCGAGCATTCTGGATGGCGGCCACAATCTCGTCATGCACAGAACGGGCAATATCCGACGAGATGTAATTGGAGACCAGGATATCAAGATCTGTCTGGCCTGGAGCAACGGGTGGCAAATGATCTGGGTCTTCGGGAGTCTGGTTCGGTATAATAGCAGGTTGACGGGAGAGACGTAGCCATTGCTGAGTGTTGTCCGCCACATCATCCATTTGCACATCCTCTTCATCCGTTTTGGGTGTAGAAGGTGTCTCAGGATCCTTTTTCCGTGAGTAAAGTTGCCTGTCCTGTCGTTGTTTGAGCGAGACTCGCCGTTGACTCTTTGGCCGTCGGTTCGCTTCCAGGGTGCTGCTAGAATTATCCTCCAAGCTTACATTTGAGGCGCTTGCGACAGATTTAACCGCTCTCAGACTGCTCGAAGCTGTCTTCGGTGGATCCATACGCGCATTCAACAAAGGAGATCCGACTTCGTCACTGTAAGAGCGAGAAACACTGGCGTGCATCGTCAAATCAACCAGGTAATCAGCGATGTTGAAGCCCGGAGGGCAAGAGTATCCCGCCTGGTCAAAGTATTGTTGACATGTCGAGAATGGGCCAGAATATACAGTTTTTCCTTTAGCCAGAAGAATAAGACGATCGAATAGAGCCACGATGTTAGATCTTGGCTGATGAATGGTGAAAACGACAGTCCGGTTGTACGTCTTTGCCAGAGTGACCAGGCATTCCACAACATTGAAAGCATTGAACGCGTCCTAATTGAGCATATAAGCGAATGCTGCATGTATTGGGGCTCCATAACTTACCAGTCCACTAGTGGGTTCATCCAGAAAGAGTATACTGGGGCTTGTGACAAGCTCGCAAGCGATTCCTACTCGTCGCTTTTCACCGCCAGAGATGCCTCGGCCTTTACCTTCCTCGGACCCGATCAATTGATCTTTGATGTGTGAAATTCCAAGCTGCTTCTCGACCTCGAATACTCGTTGTTCCTTTGCAGCTCGGCTCATGTCCCGAGGAAGCCGCAGCAACGCACTGGTGAGGATAGTCTCATGCACGGTCAAAGTAGGAAGCATAGTGTCCTCTTGGTCGACAAAACCGATCATAGACTTGAAATCATGGTCGCTGATCTTCTCTCCATTGATGTAGAATTCACCACGGACCGTGCCTCTCTTGTTCTTCCTAGCAAGGATGTCAAGGAAAGTGGTCTTGCCTGCTCCTGAAGCACCCATAATAGCCGTAATTTGACCCGGTTGGGATGCACCCTGGATCCCACTGAGAATTTCCCTCCCGTTTAGATAGTATGAGACATTGTCCCAGTACAGGGCTGCTGGCTTGTGCTCGGCTAGGAGTTTGGCCGCCTCATCATCCGAGTCGTCGGAGAGGGGCAGTTGTATGCGGCCATAAGATCTGCGTGACAAGTACCATACTGCTAAGATCACGGCCACGACGAAGAGAGCACATCCTGCAATGACGCCAGCAATGAGAGGGGTGTTGATCTGTTTGACAGGGCGAGTATATCCGGGGACGTCTGTCCTATACAAACACTCTCCTGAGTTGCAGTTCAGCGTGATACTCTTGTCGCCAAAGACTGCCTTGATCAAGTCATCCATGGCCGGCTCCTGGAACTTGCTTCCATCGTCGGGACTACCCCCCACGGTTGAGACGGACGAGAACGATGCCGGACCTGCGATCGATTCTCGGAGGAAGTCGCCAATGTCAATGGATCCCTCCTCGCCACACAGCATGCGTCCAGGAATACACTCGCAGTGGATGTTTTGGCACGTGTAGTGAGTCTTGTTTTGATTGTGAGTCGTCTCCAGTCCCCACTGACACGTATCCAGGCCGCAGTAGAAGGACTCTACCTTGCCAACCCAGAACTGAAAGTTGCACGTGTTGTCCTCTGCCTCGCAGGAGAATGTAACCTGAGGCTTGCGATCCTTTAATTGGTCAAGAATCTTGCGGTTCGTCACATCGCACATCTGGAAATTCTCCTTGACAGTAACACCTTGCTTGTAGCAGACGCCGCCTTCTCCTTCTGGCATCATGGCATTACAAGCATCGTCCGTTTGACAGACGTTGCAATTGAGACCTTCCCAGCCATCCTTACATGCGCACTGTCCATCCTTCGGGGGAGACCTCTGGTGGCCATCGGCCAACGATCCACACAACGGCTGTGCACAATCATCGCCTCCGAAACCGGGCGGACAGACACATTTTCCTGTAAACCTATCGCATGATGCAAACTGGGCGCATTGGAAGGCGTCTAGTTGACAATTGAAGCACGGAGGGCACCCGTCTGGCCGATCGCTGAAGGTGGAGAAGAGCGGAGGTATTAGCTCGGCTTCGGAGTAGTTGCTCCGCGCTGCAACAGCAGATGCAGATAACGAGAGCCCGAAGGCCAGAGAAAGGTGTAGTATTGAGGGAAGCCTCATCCTGACCTAGAAAGAAAGCAAATTTGTCAGCGACGGTGTACCCTGAGAGAAAGCGAGCTTGCTGGCGAATATCGATTGAGGTGCGCACCGGAGAAAGGGCCAATGCGGAGTAACTTAGTGACGAGCAACGCCGAAGTAATCAAGAAGCCAAGTGGTGCATCGGGCTTCCCTAACAGAAGAAGACTCCTCAACAGGCTGGGCAAGAAAGAAAAGTACCAGGAAGAAGGACCGAAATTGCTTGTGTGGATGGAAATGAGAGGCACAACAAAAACAAGCAAAGAGGCGGTAAGATGATGAAGGCGAGAGAGAGATGAGGAGGTCGGAGGTTGGAAGGGAAACCGGTTGGGGCGATGACGAGGGCGGAGATGCGCTAAAGCCATGGCCTGACAGCCTGGGGCACCAATGATAGCTCCGCATAACTCATTGTCCTGTCTCGGGAACCTACGTAGCACCGCCAGCAGGTACACAGGTACCAGGAACGGTCTTCAAGGTTGTCTGGAGCCCCTTCTCGATCAACGCATTCCTAATTTCGTCTAAACTAGTATCACAATACTTGCTTCGATTGTAAATTCAAACTTGCATTGTGTGAGGTCAAATTCCTGTCGAATCTTACCTTTCCTTTGTACCTGTCTTCCGAAAATATACTTACTACTGTAGTTTCTGAACAATCATCATCCGTCAGATACCCCAAGAAGCGTCATAAAGTCTTTGTGAATATTTGCCATGCCATGTTTCCCTTTAGAATAGGGATATTCCATCGAGAACGATCTTCGAGGGATTGTGAGTCGGCCAAATTGTTCGTGCGCGCCCCTCCCCAGGAAACTGTACACTGGGGACCGAAGACACGCATAGACCCGAGTGCTAAGTCGCTGGCACACGCCCCCGCATTAGGTACGCTGCTCATACCGCAACTACGAGGGTCTAGTGGTCAACAATCTGAATCCTAGAATCACCTTCAACGTGACTGTTTTCTGTCGCACCCTCTAGTCTATGGCCTACCCCAATAACCAGTCGGAGGGCCCAGCTTGGTCCACCTATCACTTGCTGGCTACAGAATGGTCACCCTGGCTTGGCTCTGCTCAAGAGTGGTGGCGAAAGGCCACTCCAATGGCTAATGGTGCTCTTATTATTATACCGAGGTTCACTAAAGGCAAAGGATAAATATGACTATTGTTGCTGTCATGCTAAGCGATCCAAGCTTCAGAGACCCACAGCCGGTGGAATGGAAATACAACTGGAGGTCCCGGGGGGCTCCGCAAAACTATTCATGGCTGCCATGCTAACGCGATCTCGTTGTTCGAGATGCCTTCGGTGACAGGGTCACTTACGGACAAGGGTTATTGTTCGAAGCTGGTTAGTATCCATGCACAGCACACTCGAGTAACATTCAGAACGCCTAAATTGCTTGGCCACGTGAAACCTAGGCTGAAGTAGCGGACATACCGTAACTGTAACAACTCCTCCTGTCATATTTTCCTCGGGGAAAAAGTGGTCGATACTAAGCAGAAAGCAGCAAGGCGAGGTGCACCGATAACGTGTCTGATTTCTATCATCAAATCGAGATAGTATGAGATCCAGTGGAGTCGATCAATTGATGGGATCGGTGATGTACTGTAGGTGGGTAAGCTACCGGGTTATTGGTGGATTGGTGGGGCCTCCCCAACTTTAAACCCCCATACATACCGGAGAAAGTTCATCCAATGCATAACTCTGCATAGTCTTCCAGCCGAGGTATGAACCGGTATGAAGTCTGACGTTCATTGTCTGGCCCCGTTTAACCATGCGCTTTCTGAGGAATGGATACTCACCCACCACCCCTCTTTTCCTCCTTTGATACCTTCATTGCCCCCATCTCCTTACAATTTCTTCTGGCTTCTGTGCTGTTGGAGTGTCGTGCGAGATTTCAGGTCCTCTCCCCCATTCGGCCATCCCAACTCCCCAGAGCCCTCGTCACTTGTCTAGTGGCTCGGCAACATGCTCGAGATCCCTGGTGATTATGCTAGAAGATTGAAACGTATATGGTTTCAGATCGCTGACTTAGCTAGACGTTCCTCTGTCTCTTGCCGGGCCGGCGGTGGTCACTACTCTCGCTTATTTGAATGCGAAGTACTCGCTCTTCTATGATCGCATATTGATTAAGGTTCTTCTCAAGATTGCCTTCAATCTCCGGTCGGGCGAGCGTCGCGATAAAGTCAACTTATTCTACAAGCTCGAAGACCAGGCCTTGAACCCTAAAACAAAGGACCGGCCGTTTCTTGTCTACAACGGCCGCACCTGGACTTTCCGAGAGACTTACACTACGGCATTGCAGTATGGTGCCTGGCTCAAGAATGTACATGGCGTCAAGGCCAGGGAGGTTGTGGCCATGGACTTCATGAACTCGTCAACCTTCATCTTCATCTGGCTTGGTCTGTGGAGCATCGGCGCCATCCCCGCTTTTATCAATTACAACCTATCGGGGAAGCCTTTGACGCATTCCATCTTGACCTCATCCGCAAGGTTGCTGCTGGTGGACGAGGAGCTGCGCGCCCAGATCCCTCCTGAACAGCTTGAGAACCTCGCCTCTCCAGAGTTTCGAGAAGGCAAAGGATCTGTGGATGTGATTTTCTTCACACCTGAAGTGGAATCGCAGATCCTGCACATGGAGCCTACTCGAGAGGACGACGAAGTCCGTGATGGCATCAGGATGCGGGATACAGCTCTGCTTATCTATACAAGTGGGACTACTGGTCTTCCCAAGCCTGCTATTATCGGCTGGAGAAAAGCTTGGAGTTCAGGTATCATGATCACGAACTGGATCGGTCTTCAGAGCACGGACCGATATTATACAGTAGGTTATCCCCTTCCCTGAAGAGTGATTGCTGACTTGAGGCAGTCCATGCCATTATACCACTCATCGGCCTCTCTGCTGGCTGTCATGCCGTGTCTTTGGGCTGGCTCCACGGCCCTTATTGGCCGCAAATTCTCTGCGCGCAACTTCTGGCAAGAGGTACGGGAAAGCGATGCGACAATCATCCAATACGTGGGTGAAACCCTGCGATACCTCCTTGCTGTGCCTCCCTCTCTCGACCCGGTCACTGGGGAGGATTTGGATAAGAAGCATAACCTTCGCCTGGCAGTTGGCAACGGCCTCCGTCCGGACATCTGGAATCGTGTGAAGCAGCGCTTCAATATCCCTACCATCGCCGAGTTCTACGCATCTACTGAGGGTACATCGGGGTCATGGAATCTTTCTTCGAATGATTTCACCGCCGGGGCTATTGGTCGGAATGGAGGGTTCACTGGATGGATTCTCCGGCGCAGCGTAGTGGTTGTCAAGATTGATGAAGTCTCGCAGCAGCTCTGGCGCGACCCGAAGACTGGCTTCTGCAAAGCGATGCCTCGAGGTGAGCCTGGAGAATTGCTGTGGGCGGTGGACCCCACGGACCCCAAGGAGACCTTCACCGGATATTTCAACAACTCCAAGGCCTCGGATAGCAAGCTCGTTCGGGATGTTCTGCGCAAGGGCGACGCCTATTTCCGGACTGGCGACCTAGTCCGCTGGGACAAAGAGGGCCGGTGGTACTTTAACGACCGTTTGGGCGATACATACCGCTGGAAGAGCGAGAACGTGTCGACTGCCGAGGTGTCCGAAGTGCTAGGTGGCCATGCTGACGTGCACGAAGCGAATGTTTACGGGGTGGCGCTTCCCCACCACGATGGCCGGGCTGGTTGTGCGACGATTCTTCTCCAACAGCAGACCCGTGCTGAGGATCCTACCGCTCTGATTCCTCCTTCCCAGGACACACTGAGCAGCTTGTCGGCGCATGTTTTGAAGAACTTGCCGCGTTATGCCGCCCCGCAGTTTCTGCGCATCACGCGGGCTATGCAGACGACAGGGAACAACAAGCAACAAAAGCGTGTTTTGCAGTCGCAAGGGGTGGATCCGTCACTGGTTGCTGCAGACGACAGATTGTACTGGCTGCAGGGCGGCCAGTACGTTCCATTTGAGCGCAATGATTGGAGTCGATTGCAGGCTGGGAAGGTAAAGCTGTGAGGGCGGATGGCAGGATATGTGTTGGGCACATTCCGGGGATTCTCCAGAGTACAGTACATATCAAGGTATACCATGTCTATAGTGTCTGCAATTTTCATAAAGTGTTCAAACAGTGGGCTTATTGAGCTGAACGGGAATTTAGTCGAGATGCCGAAGAGATCCACTGAGTGAGTGGGTCCTCTCGGAAGATGGCTGGCTTCTCGAGGCTATCTGACCTTAGGGGGACTGATGCGCTGGTGCGGTACTTCATATGCTGCAAAAAATCGCGAGAAAGACATACACCCAGCCCGATGCTCACGATGATGAACAAATTGAAGCTTACTCCACACTGAAGTGGTCGTGTTATTGGGTTACGTATCTGGTCTTTGTACCCAGGTCAAACGCTGATCTCGAGCATAACGGCTACTCGGAAAGTGCCCGGTCTCGGAAAGGCTCATTGAGACCGAGGTATAAATTGGCTCTCCCCGCGCCATCCAGTTGGAGATCTCCCCACTTACTCGCCATTCCTCATTCTTTCTTTCACAACATTAAAAACACCCAACACCACGACTTACCCAGTTCCCACCATGTCCGTTTCCATGACACGATGTCCCTCGCTCCGATACCTCCAAATCAACAACTGCCTCAATAAAGCAAGACCCAGCCGCCAATTCTCCACCCATCACCCTCTCCGCACGCACTCCAACACCTCCACCTCCACCTCCGCATCCGCCATTGCAACAGCCTTCCTCTCGCGCTTCCAATCCCTCGGCCCACAAACCCGCACGCAAGTCCTCGACGCCAACCAACTCCATCTCCTTTCGCTCACTCTCAGCCGGCCCTCTCTCTTCCCGGACTCCCCATCCCTGTCCAACGCCTCCACGCCGCTACCCACCGGCACCCCACTCCCGGCCGGCTACCACCTCGCCTACTTCACCCCGGCATTCCTCGAGACCGAACTCGGTATCGACGGCACTGACACCTCCTACAACCCAGCCGCCCCCTTCACCCGCCGCATGTGGGCCGGCGGGGAGGTGCAATGGCCGCGGGACGCCACGACCGGCGAACCGAATCTCCTCCGCGTGGGCCAGGAGGTCCACGAGACGACGCGGGTGCTGAGCGCCTCGCCCAAGGTCATCGGCAAGACGGGCGAAGAGATGATCGTGGTCGGCGTGGAGAAGGAGTTCCGCAATGAGGACGGAATCGCGGTTGTAGATCGGAGGTGCGTTCGCCCAAATTCAAACCCATACCCCAATCTCCCTATATTCTCCTCTGCACAAAGTCCCCCAAGATCTCCAGCACTGCACTCACCTCCCCTCTCCCTCTCCACTCCCCATCCCTCAAAGCAACATCAACTAACCAAAAGGCCAAAAAGGAATTGGATCTTCCGCAAAGCCCTAACATCCCCCTTACCACCAACCCGAACAGCCACCCCACCACCACCACCACCCACCACAACCGAACTCCCCAAACCAGCTACCACCACCACCACGACAACAGGGAAAACCCACACGCGCACCCTACGCCAGACCCCCGTCACGCTCTTCCGGTTCTCGGCCCTGACCTTCAACCCGCACAAGATCCACTACTCGACGCCGTGGGCGCGCGAGGTCGAGGGCCATAGGGATATCGTGGTGCACGGCCCATTGAACCTGATTGCCATGCTGGATCTGTGGCGCGATACGCGATCCTCCCGAGAACTGTCGCTGCCGGAGAGGATCAGCTACCGCGCGACGAGTCCGCTGTATGTCGAGGAGGAGTATCGGGTGGTGCTGGATGAGGAGGCGGCGGATGGGGTGGGGCGGGTCCAGATCTTGGGGCCGGGGGAGGTGGTGGCTATGAAGGCTGAGATTCGGTAGCTGCTTCTGATTCCTCGCCTTTGCTAGGGGTGTTTTGAGGATACTATATAAGTATAAGTAATGAGGGGGGGAGGGGGTTGCTGAGGAACCTGCGCCTGCATTTCTTCCGTCCATGTATATAGTATGTCGGCGCTCTGTGGGCGTTGCTTTTTGGTGTGTCACCAGAGGATGAGCTTTAGAGGTCTGAAATATTGACTGGGTCGAAGCTAGGTACCAGCTCTCGAGTACCGTGGTTCTGTCTGTAGACACCTCCTGATCTCTGACTCTCGCCTATGGCCACCAGATACAGTAAATAACTTGCAGGCTTTGTACGACATCATATCCTCTATAATTGAGACATATATTCATGAGCCCGTCTAAGCATGACAGTGACTATATACCCCTAAACCCCCCTTCTTCCTCACGCTGAGAAAACCAAAATTCTCACCGAACATAGCCAGGGGCATATTCCATAACCACCCCCCTCCATCCCCACAAACCCGTAAAACAAACATATCCCACGGACAAGCAAACCCAGCCCACCACCTCACCTCGCCAACCTCTTCTCATGAATAAACAAACTCGAGACAAACGAACAAAACACGACCCCCACTACAAAGGCAAAGCTCTTATTGGTCGCCCAGCCGTAGCAGCTGCGCACCACCCTGGCCACGGCGGGGTCCAGCGTCTTGATGAAATCCAGACTCTGGCGGACGCCGGCCACAATGCGGTCAATGTCGTCGCTCTCGCGCAGGGCCCACTGCAGCCGGTCTCGGAGGACCTGCTGCACGACCGTCGAGGAGAGTGAGAGGCCGATGACGGAGCCGAGCGAGCGGAAGAGGTACGAGCAGGCTGTTACGACGGCTTGGTCTTCGGGGGTTGCGTTTGAGACTATTCCAGACAAATCAGCGGTGAGGGGGGGGGTTTGAGGATTACAGGGCTGGCTTACTCAGGCTGATCAGCGTGGATGTGACGCCGGTGCCGTTTCCAAAGGCACAGAAGACCGTGCCTAGGACCATGACGGTGGTGTTCTCGAACGCACCGCCGGAGGCGAGGGTGATAATCATCAAACCTAGCGTGAGCAGCGTGTACGCGAACACCGTCAGCCAGTAGAATTTGCCTGTCCACTTCATCACGAAGCCGGCGAAGAGCGAGCCGCTGACGCCGGCGAGGATGCTGGGCAGCAGGCGCAGGCCCGCGATCGTGGCCGAGACGCCGTCGACGGCCTGGAAGTACAGCGGGATGTAGAAGAGGGCGGCCAGCCAGCCGCCGAAGCTGAAGAAGTTGCAGCCGTAGGCGGCGAAGAAGGTCTTGTTGAAGATGATGTGGCCCGGTGCGAAGGGCTCGGCCGCGTAGAAGCACTCGACCACCACGAAGAGCACGAACAGCGCCCCGGACACGCTCAGCGAGATCACCGTGATCGGGATCGTCCATGAGACGTTGCTGCCGCGGTCCAGCCCCAGGAGGAACCCGAAGACCGCTCCCACCAGAACGATCGCCCCGGGGAAGTCGATGCGCCCGAGTTTCGTCCCCCAGTGACTATCCTCCACGGCTGGCAGATGAAGCATCAAGGTAACGGCGACGAAAGCAAGGGCGCAGAGGGGTGCCTGCGCAATGAACGCCCTGGCGACTTAGGGTTAGAGGTCTGTTTTTGTTTGTCTGAAACAAGATAGTGGACTCACCAACGCCAGCCGATGTAATCGGCCAAGATGCCACCTGCAGTGACCGGTCAGACGAAAGCACAAGATAGCAGCGCGAAGGTCTTACCGAGAGGTGCGCCAACTCCAGCACCGGTCGCGTAAATCATGTTGATGATCCCTTGCCACACACCCCGTTCGCGGAGAGGCACGATATCGCTCATAAGGATGCTCACTACAGTCGTCATACCGCCGCCTCCGACACCTTGGAAAACCTGTAGTAGGGTCTCTCATTAGCATATAGCAAATACGAAGGAAAAGGATCGCTTACGCGTGCAGCGATGAGCTGGTTGATATCCTGCGCAAGACCACAGAACAGACAGCCGATCCCGAAAATGGCATAGGCAAACAACAGGCAGGTTTTGCGACCAAAAATGTCACTCAGTTTCCCGTAGAGAGGTTGGAATGAAGTCAGAGTCAAGAAATACGAAGTAGCGATCCAATTTGTCAGATTCAGGGCCTTGAGATCGCTACCAATTTGACCATAACTGGCCATGATGATGGTCTGGTCGGCCGCAGACAGGAAAATCTAGCCAGATGCATTAGCACTATGTCTATTTGAATTACAAGGAAGGATACATACCCCTATAGAGATAGCGGGAAGAATATACTTCAGGTTTGGGCGTGCCTCCGACGCAAGTTTGGTCTGATTCTCCTCCTCGTCCCGCGCGGGGAGCTGTTGGGTGCCAGCCTCAACATCGCCGATATTGGAGATAGTCCCTGTGGATTGAGTGTTACTTTGAGACCCCAGCAGCGGAGATGTCTCCGTCGGGGTTCTTTCCGCTGACATCGTTGACTCCGACACTTTCTCCACTGATCAGAGACTAGCAAGCCAATATGCGCATGAATTGCAGGAACAAGAAAGGAAAAAAAGATGAGACGAGGGAGGCTTTTGGACTATGAGGTGCTTCATAGTGCTGCTCACGTGCTGATAAGCCTCCCCACCCATTCCTGACAAATCACCGTCGGATCAGGCTGCCACCCCCACTTTGCCTGAGGCCCTAATCGTGATAAGATGCATTACTATTCCCAATCAAGGTCCGACCGTCGGAGGTTATCCGCCTGCCATTAGTTATCTGCTATCATCATTAACTATTGGTTCTGCTCCTTATCCATCTGCCGCCCCATCCATCGCCGAGGTTGTTGTTCGGGCCGGTTGGGGTTGGAAGTGAAGCCATGCTGTAGAGAGATGACCAAGATCCATGGTATTATAGGTTCCTCCAAGAGAATAAACGGAAAGCTGATCATAATAGTTGTGGCTATGCATGTCTTCCAAGTATCACAATTCCAAAGGAGTGACGCCAATATCAAAGGACAGAAAACACACCGATTCGTTTACATGGACGTTACAGGATCTCTTCATGAATGCTCTACTCTATCGCCGTCTCTCTGACAACAATGTGAAAATCATGCGTCTGTCTTGGGTTCCTCAGCCACGGGAATGGGAATGGGGCCACCAGGCGAGTCCGGCAGGCGAGCGGTCAGGACCTCCACGCCATCCTCTGTCACCAGCAGCGTGTGCTCAAACTGAGCCGACAGCTTGCCATCGGCAGTGGAGCTGGTCCAGTCATCCGGCCACGTACGGTCGCGGTGAGTACCCAGGTTGATCATCGGCTCGATGGTGAAGCACATGCCGGGCTTGGCCGTGCCCACCGCCTTGTTCTTTGCGTAGTGGGGGACGTTGGGAGCGCAGTGGAAGAGCTGGTTGATACCGTGACCACAATAACTCTTGACCACACTGCAGTCGCGAGACTTGGCGTGCTTCTCGATCACATTACCGGGGTCTCGGAACAGCATGCCGGGCTTGACCAGCGCGATGGACTGGTCCAAGCACTCTCGCGCGGTCTCCACCACTCGCACGGCGTCCGGGTTAGCCTTGGCCTTGTCGCCGACGTAGTAGGTCTCGTTGATATCGCCGTGGAAGCCGTTGTGGTACAGGGTCACGTCGATGTTGACAATGTCGCCGTCCTCCAAGGGGCGCTGATCGGGGATACCGTGGCAGATGATCTCGTTGATTGAGGTACATACCGACTTGGGGAAGTTGACGTAGTTGAGCGGCGAGGGGTAGGACTAGGCCGCGTTAGTTTGAAGGTCACTCAAGCAACGCACTCTGTAGCATCCTTCGCGGGCAGACAATGACACCACTTACATCACGCTCAACGCAAGCCTTGTGAACCACCTCATCGATGTAGTCGGTTGTGACACCGGGCTTGATCTCCCGCGCAGCAATGTCCAGAACCTCACGAGCCAAGCGACACACTTTGCGCATACCCTCCTGCTCCTCCTTGTTCAGGATAGTGATGTTGTGACGACCAACGAACTTCTGCTCGGACCGGGGAATACCATCCTTGGCGTAGTCGGGGTGAGGAATGGATTTGGGGACGGTTCTCCGGGGGGACAGCGGGTATACGGGTCTCAAGTCTCCGGCGAAAGGATAGGAAGGGAAGGGGTTGTAGAGCCCCGTGGCTGGATCTGGTTCAGAAACTACTTTGGGTGTAAAGAGGTTGCTCAGGAAATTACTCTTCTTGTGAATCGTCTTGTGTTCGCTCTGTGCAGGGGGGATTAGCCATAGTCGGAGGACGAGCGTCGCAGAGAGGCAACAGGAATCCGTACCCAGCTCTTCTTGAAACAGTCCTGCGAGCAGAAGAAGCTATCCGTCCCTTGTTTAAGGCAAGTCGGACACTGTAGCGTTCCGGCATTCTTATCGCAATCCACACCGATGCATTTCCGGGCAGCGACTTCGGCAGTCATCTTGGATATGTCTAGAATGCAGAGAAGGAGGTAGAGAAACAGAAATAGCGATGCTTCCGAAGGGATATGGAAATGTTCCGCAGCGCAAAGAGGGAAAAAATGGGACAATCCCCCGCGGCTGAGCGGCGCCAATCGCCGTTCCGCCAACCCAGGCAGAAAACTAGGTACCATTCCAAAGACAGTCTAGCGCAGGACATGGGACCGCTATCCCGACAGAGACTAGCGGCTGATCTAGAAGCGCGCGTCTACATCACGTGCCTCGGAAACGTAGATCGGAGAATAGTGGCTGATTGGAGGAGATGAATGGCAGAAAACGGCATGTGGGGCTCCGCCGTCTTTTCTTCTTCCGAGTTTGTGACGCATCAAAACCAGTCTGGAACCAGTCAACATCTCAATTTGTAATCTGTTGTATCACGCCACACTGTGACTTTTCGAGCCAAGAGCTGCAGAAGCACAGAACTGCCTGAGGTTGTATACCTACATCTCTAGGGTCTGTGACCTTTGACTTCAAAAGCTGTCGTGAGATTCTTTCTTTCTGACTCACCCATTGATCGTCACTTCGCCCCCCGCCATGGCACATTCCACACCTGCCAAACAAAAAGTTGTCATCGTGGGCGCAGGCCCGGTGGGGTCCCTTGCAGCTCTCTATGCAGCAGCCCGAGGCGACGTTGTTGAAGTATATGAGCTACGTGGAGGTGAGTCTGTCGCTATCGTTTCTATTTGATGCATTTTCCTTGTCACAAATTCGACCTGTGTTCGCCGTTTCTGCCATATGGCGACCCTGATCCACTTCTTATCGACCCCACTTCGACATCTATAACTGCGCTCTCATAAGCCTCAACGACTCGGCTCAATAACATGACCTACAGATCTGCGTGACCCGGCGACTATCCCGTTGAACTTCACCAAGTCTATCAATTTAGCACTGTCGGAGCGAGGCATCAACGCCATGAGGGAGTCGCACCGCGATGAACTCATCGACCGGGTTCTCGCGGATTCAATCCCCATGCATGGACGCATGATCCACGGCCGGACGGATGGCAAGCTTTGGGAAGCTGCTCAAGCATACGATGTTCACGGCCGAGTACGTTGCTCCCCTCCATGCCCTACATCCCCGTCCACATGCCCCTCAACCAAACCCATCCAGCATCCAGCAAAAGCTCCCGTCTAACAACACATCATCAGGCAATCAACGCAGTCGACCGCGGCACCCTGAACAACGCCCTTCTGGATGAGTTGGAGCAGACCCCCAACGTGCGACTCTTCTTCAACCACAAGCTCGTCGGGGCCGACTTCCGCGCCAACCGGGCCTGGTTCGAACGGCGCGACCCCGGGAGCAATCCCTACGACAAAGCTACAGAAGTCGAAGCGACCTTCGACCTCCTCATCGGCGCGGACGGGGCCCACTCGGCGGCGCGCTACCACATGATGAAGTTCGCCCGCGTCGACTACCAGCAAGAGTACATCGACACGCTGTGGTGCGAGTTCCGCATCCCGCCGTCCCCGACGACCAACGACTTCCTCATCTCCCCGAACCACCTGCACATCTGGCCCGGCAAGGAATTCATGTTCATTGCCATCCCGTCGGCCGATCGGTCCTTCACCTGCACGCTCTTCGCGCCCGCCGACCACTACGATACCCTCTCGGCCAGCTCCCCCGACCGACTAATCGAGTTCTTCGACACCAACTTCCCCGGGGTGTGCCCGGACCTCATCACCCCGGAGGCCCTGCACGAACAGTTCACGACCAACCAGCACCTGCCCCTCATCAGCCTCAAATGCAAACCCCACCACTACGACGCCAGCGTCGTCGTCGTCGGCGACGCCGCGCACGCTGTCCTCCCGTTCTACGGCCAGGGCCTCAACGCCGGGTTGGAGGACATCCGGACGCTGTTCGACATCCTGGATCGACACGGGGTCTACAGCAACAGCTTCAGCCCGGGGATGCAGGACGACCCCGAGCGCCGCCGGGAGGCCCGCCGGCGCGCGCTGCAGGCCTACACGGACCAGCGCGCGGCCGACACGCACGCCATCAACGACCTCTCGAAGCAGAACTTCCTCGAGATGCGCTGGGGCGTCAAGTCCCCGCTGTACAGGCTGCGCAAGGCCGTCGAGGAGTCCATGGACCGCTACCTGCCCGGTCTGGGCTGGCAGACGCAGTACACCCGCGTCAGCTTCAGCAACCAGCGGTACTCGGAGGTGGTGCAGGCCGTGCGCAGACAAGGTCGCCTGCTGGGCTTGGGGCTCGGCGCCGCGGCCCTGGTGGCCGGTCTGTCGGCGGTGGCGGTGAGTCTGCAGTTCTGGAGGCGACGGCCGGCTCCCCGCTCGCTGTGGGCGGTTCTTCGCAATGTCTGGCGCGAGGCAGGAGCGTGGCTTTGATTTTTCGGTTATAGACGCTTCCTTCCCACTCCCCTCATTTCCCTGGCCTTTGTTCCTTTCCGAATCTCTACGATCCCTGCTGCTGCGGGATGCTGATGACTGCGTGATCTATCTGTAACATTATTCTCCTTTTCTTCCCCATTTAGATGCTGATCTAGAGGTCTAATTATGAGCAATTTCCTATTCATGCTTACAGCAGCCCCCCGATGAAGCCAGTTTTCTGCACAGCACCATCATGTACCTTTCGAAGCACAGCACACTTTTGCCTTGCACTTCAGCCATACCATAGAATCAGATACGTATTATTTGGACACTCTGAGGTGCTTAGAAGTCCGGTAAAGACAGCTAGCCTCGTTCACGGCCCCAGCCGCCTGCCTCTTGGCTATCTCGCTTGCTCACTGACTGTATGTCCTTCTGTCCCAAATGTACAGTACACCTAGATTGCTTTGTCTTCGTCCTTCTGTCACGCACATTCCAGACATAATCTTACTGTGCGCGCCCATTACCAATTAGCAGACAATACATCGGGCGTCCGTCTAGGTTTCTAGACAAATAGAGTGATAGAAAAAAAGAAATACATCCATATTCTGTGATAAGTCTCAGTGACCCCGGGTTTATGTTGATGGACAAGAGGAGTTCCTTCCGCCTCAGCACTGAGAGACACAGCCGGTCTTAGACTGATAGGCTAAGGCACGGGGCTTCAATATTTGAAAAAAAAGCTGGTAGGATGGAAGCCAGCAACATGAACAATTTGAACTTGAACCCACAGAAGGGCAAGAATGGCAAGAGGCAAATGAGAAAGCCACCACAATCCACCTGAAGGGTGTAGTACAAGACAAAGTGAACAGAAATATGCAGCTCGGGCTGATTGACAATAGCTGTCACCGAGTGAAAAGTCAAAACCGAAAATTGTTTCTCACATGAACAACGGAAAAGGCCGAAATGAAAAGAAAAGAACGCATATAGGCCGTAATCATGATCAGGATAGAAGAGAGTCCTAGTCAATAGATGCAAAGGGCTGTGAATACTCTTGATCGCGTAAAGATTTATCAAGTAGCGGCATAGTTTCATCCTTATCATCAGGCCAAGTCAGTCCCCAGACCAAGGATTGTCTGGGAATGGGAATCTCTAGTTGGATTTCGGCCGCCGGTGTCATAGCTTTGCTCGCATAGACCGAATTCAGGTTCACCACTTCGGCAAAGTCACTGGGGAAGGGTCCATAAGGTCCATGAGAGACGAACGCACGTGGCTCCTGGAATAACTTCCTTGGGCTACCCTCCAATGGACAAGGGGAACGCCTGACGGAAACGGCAGAATGGCTTTTTCCAGCCGGATGGGTCTATAACATGGTGGAATCGTGGCCACGGCCAAAAGGGAAAACTCATTAACATCATCACTGAGGGTCCAATATCCGAGGTCAAGGGCCGGCAAATTTCACTCGACGACTGCGCCGGTCCTGAATACGCTTCTCCGTGTCAAGATAAAGATTGTCAAGGTACTCCATCGCAGCGGCATCCTTCAAGATTTTGGCCACCTGCGTGCCGGCGGAGATAAGCTGAAGGACGTTGCGATCGTCCTTGATGGGCCTGGATTGATGCTTGGCAGCATGGCGCATCTCCAAGGAGTTCTCCAGTATGGTGACTAACTGCTTGATCTGGCCATTATACAGGACCCTGGCGGGGATCCGCCGCTTGGTGGCCAGTCTTTTGAGGAGGTATACCCACTCAGTCCATTCACGGTCTGAGGGAACTCTCACCTGTCTCTTGTCAGGCTCCAGTGGGATTGGAAACTGGTACTTTGCAACAAAGTCAAACGCGCACTGCGATAGTCGGTCGTTCACCGAGGACAGGATACGATCTTGTTCTGAAACATCAAGATTAGTAGGTAGATGAGGCAAGTCCCTTCCTTGTGCCGCGATCACACGCGGAGAGGGAGGCTCAAGTAATTGGTGGGGGCCATCAAACTCATCCCGGTTCGATGGTCTTCTCTGTGAATGATATCGGGTTGTGCCCTTAAACTTTTCACCAAACCGTCGGCTGTTCCTCTCAACCATGTATTCCGGCGTCTCGAAAGACCTGGCAAAGTCAAATTCCCGTCTCAAAGACTCCGCCGGCAAGCGAGCAGGATGATCCCACTCCGGATAATGAGGGGCGGGGCGTGGTAGTGAAGTTCCTGATGGTGCAGCTATATTGGCATTGATCTGGGAAGTCACTGGCAGCCCGCTGTACGGCATGGAGAAGTTAAAATCCGGTGAAATAGGTTTGGGGCCTCTAGCGGCAGCACTCGGGACGTTCATGGGTCCGCGTTCAATGTGGGGTGGTGACATCCTTGTAGCGCTGCTTATGAGTGAGTTTTCCCTCGGTAAACAGTGCTTCTGGAGAGGATGATGAATGGTAATACAAGATGAATTGGTACCTTGGGTGGTAAATGATAGGACTTTCGCTCGGGGTCCCATACATCGGCGGCTGTTGGGGCGCAATCCCACTGCAAGAGGTGAGCTCTACACATGACTTACATGTCTCGACAAAGACGAGATACAGATCTCGGTTCGTGCTAACCTGTGATGGGACCAAGAATCATCGCTGCCAATGGACTGCGTACAAGAGCCACTGCTTCCTGTTACCCGCGAGAAGTAACTGAGGCCCGATGACATGGTGATCAATGGAGGCGAAAGAACAGATGGCATGAAGTTCAAAAGCTATAGTGACTGGTATCAGAGCGTGACGAACTATACTGGGAAGCTGAGTGGTTGTGGAAGTGAAGGACGGTGGCGAGTCAGTCCAGACCATCGGAGACTGAATCTAACAACAAATAGAGAAGACGTTTATAAGAATAACCCTGACTTGAATGAATTGCAGGTACAAGAACAATTTGTTGTAGGCGCCAGATAAGCTTTTTATCTCTGGACCGCGTGAGGTACGAAGAAGGAGAGGACATGAAGAGCTCCACAGCAGTGGCAACTGGGAGACTCCATCAGCCTGGAAGGCAACCCGTCCTTGTCAGAGAGCAACCGCGTGCCCACTGGTAGTCATATAGGTCAGTTGTATATACGGCGACAAAGGATCTATCTCGGACCCATATCCAATCGAGGTTCGACCCCACAGTGCTCCATTCGATTGACAGGGCAAGCTAGTAGGATCGATTGAGCCAGAGACGCCCGGCACGGCTAGGTCGACGATAATTAGGCCATGGTAATAAGCAAAGCGGCATTCACGACAATAAAAGCAGAGAGAGTGGGGAGCTGCACAGGCACATTGGGGTACAGGGCCATGGATGAACCCGGCTGCAAGAGGCAGCCAAACTACCCATCAGCAGGCTCTCGCCAACTCTCATGCGCTGATCTCATCCCCAACCGTGGTTGTCAAAAGTAAACGTAAGAGAAGAGGAGTTGAAGGATTCGGTGATGCGTAGGGTTTTGGGCAGCAAAAAACCGGCCGGATTGCGCAGGGAAGATGCATCCACTCGATGGAGGGAGGACGACATATCCAGGCAATTGACCCAATGCAGGTTCTAGGTATTCAATGGCAGTTTGGCGCGGGAAACTGCTTCTGTTTAGAGTTCCTGGGCACAGAGTGGATGATCCCATTTGGTCCCTCTTTCGTCTTGCCTGTCGCCAGCATTTCCATTGTCTCCACTTACGTCGAAGAGGACTAGAGTGGGTGAGTGGCTGGATACAGAGCATCTAAAGAAGAAGAAAAAAAAGGGGGGAAGGGGGGGGAGCGGAGATGGGATGGTGGGGAGAAGCACGGTGTGTACTCCATAGTTGACAGTTTGAGGATGATTGCACACTGCAGCCACCATCCCTTTCGGGAAAGGGCAATGGAGTGGATGCCTCAGTCCGCCGACAGCCTGCCTGCCTGCATGCCTCGCCCTGAAGCAATATCAGACTACAGTACCTACTAGGTACCTACCTAGTAGTCATTGTCGCTGAATCAAAGCAAGCAATTGAAGCAAGCAAACCAGCCAGCTAACCTGGTACAATCCCAATCCCCACCATAGCCTGATATTTCAGTTCCCCATTACGGTCTCCGTCTCCACTGACCATCTATCTATTCATAGATCCTTCATTGCCAACCCGCCGATAACTATGCAATCTATCCAGGCACTGACCTGAACGCCATGATAGATAACCACAGTCATCACCAGCATTGATTCCACCAATACCACCACGGACCCTCGCTGGGAGATTGCTTTGAAAGCCTTTCCATGTAGCATTTAAAAACGACCACGGCGCACGCAGACTACCCTACAGCACAAAGCGCAATGATAATGAACACACTAGAAATACAATGAGGGGTGGGTCGGAAGCAGATATCAACTGCTGCTCCATACCACACGGGTGGCGGCCCAACAGTCGAGGTTTGAGTGTGGGGAGGGAAGCTTGCAATTCTCAACCTGACTGCCATTGATCCCTCGAGGATGTTGGGCAGACACTTTGCTGCACGCCTGGTCGCCCAAGCCCAGAGCGGATGTGTTGGCCAACCCTCTATTGGCGCGGGCAATCATTTTGCGGCCGCAGTGCTCGCCTAGGCCACCGACACGCAGCAATAGCTTCACTGAGTTATTGGCTATAAATCCATGCTTTTCTGATCCTGAAAGACGGAATGGAGGCATCTCATACTAAGGGTATCCTGGGATCACTGACAAGATGGGTAGTGTCCGTAACCATCATTACCCATTGACCCCGGTATGGGTGAGGTTGGCATTAGCAGGAGATCCTCAATCCGAACATCATGATGGTGATCGAGAATCAAGGAAAACGCGAGAAGGGAACGAATAAGCTCTTGTTATCCAAGTTGACCGATGATCCGATCGATTGATCCAGACGCCAATGGTGAGACAATGCCGGAGTACGGGATTTTTCAAAAATGGTGTACGTTATTGCGACCCAACGAGAGGTCGCTAAAGGTAACTTGCCGACAAGGGAGCGAAACTGATTCGTGGGTGTGCCATTCCCGGGCAATGAACTTCTCCTCTGCCATGCTTAATGCCAAAATCAACTGGAGCCTCCGTCTTATGTCATTTCTCTTACAACCCCCAGTTTCACTGTCCTACATATGGCCAGCCTTCGATAACTCGTTCCGCAAGGAACGATCCGTTTCCCGTTGCTCGAGTCAGTCAGCAGCATGTCGAGTCTCGGTAGATACGCATTTGTTCCGAAACAACCACCGCAGGTCGAATACGGGACCTAACACGAGCTCCGTAATACAATTATCGCCTCGACCTGTCGACGATCACGGCAAATACCAACTGGCACCACATCTACGAGCGTCTGGTGGCGGCCTAAAGCTATCATTCCATGAAATCTCACCGGCATCACCTCCCGACAACAAACTCCCATAGGCTTGGCTGCTATATGGGCGGAGATCGAGCGACACTACATTCCTAGGCTGCTTCGCAAGACAAGGAACCTCCGTCGAGCCGGGCATAACAGGCAGACTGGCTGATGAGACGTTGCGGCATTAACAGCATGCTACAGCCGGAATGAAGAATCCAGAACAACATAGCCGGTCCCGACGGGTCTATCCGATGAACAACTGTTCAGATGCTGTCATGTACCCAGTCATAAGACTGGAAGCGATCGTAGAAAAAGTTTCTCTAGTTTCAAAAGCAAGTTGCGATCAGACGACCTCTCGCGGGGTCCGAGATTAGCCCAGCAGCAGAAAAAGAAAAGAACCATCGTCCATACTGAAGCAGAGAAACAACAAAATCCCGAGCTATGATGGTAGAACAGATCTCAGCAGACTGGTCCATAGTCGGTTATCGTGTCTTTTGGGCTGCATTCGGCCAATCGCAAGTGGTTGAAGACAAAGCAGCGACTTTAGCAAGCACATGGAGGCAGCAATGCTAGATGCTATCGATTAATGAAGTCGCTAAATACATAGTCCAGAGACAACCCAGAACAACTCAGCGGGCGCCTTCACAGCTCATGGCTGCCGGATTGTGCATGGCATGCGATGGTCGAAGCTCGCCAGTCGCATGACTTCTAATACACACCCGGAATCAGAAGGATGACCGACTCGAGTACTGAGCATCTTCCAGTGCCTGCTGACCAGCAGGCACCTCAGTCCAGACTTCGATCGCCTGCATCGTCACGATGCGACCCATAAAGAGAAGCTCGACCGAGCAATATAGATAATGCATCAAAGGAAATGAGTTATGTTACTATACAAGGTATCCAACAGCAGTCGCAAATAATAAGAAAATATGAAAATACACGGCATGCGAGGAGACACTGCGACTGGCCAAACTCCGGTTAAAATGCAAAGCCCAAGCGACTCTCAGACATGGAAGCTCTTCTTCACCCTCCCAGCTTACTTGATCCGGCACAGGACCAGACCGCCGCTCTTCTTTTCAACGCACTCTCTCGCCTCCATGATGCCCTTATCCGTCGAGATGTATAAGCTCTCACCCGGCGACCGCAGACCCTCGATGTAGGGAGTGTTGTGGCCTTGGACCACGCGCCGAAGATCCTGGAGCTTGGCGGTCACTCTCCGTTTAGGCGTGCTGATCATCTTCATCTTGCCCAGAACCGGCTCGCTGCGCCAGTACTTCATTCCGAGCCAGAGACGTCTGGTGGCGACGTTGGCTTGAGTCACAGGTTCGATGTCCTTGGAGCTGGGGTGGCCAAGGAGCTCATGCGGAGCGGGGGGAGTCGGGCCGCCACGAACAACGGTAGAGATGAATCCGTCATTTTGCAGCGCAAGGCAGAGCTTCAGGTGTAGCTTGGTGTTGGGGATCGAGGTGAGACCGAGGCGGGCCTTGGTGACATTGTTTAGGTGGGAAATAACGTGAGAAAGGTTGGAGAGAGACATTTTGTATCGTGAGACCGGATATCGGTGGTCGATTCCCAATGCAAGACAGGATACACGGTGCGGGAAAGCAGGATAGACCGCTGGCGGGGAGAAGCGTGAGCGACACAGCACGGAGCACTACCACAAGGTGAATACCGGGATGAATCGTACCTGCGAGAAGCCAAATCGAGGATTGGCGTCAAGACTGATGCGATGGTAAATTGATCGGGCTCTGCTGCAGTCAGCCAAAGGTATGGTCGTCAATCGCGTTCGCGGTAACCAGAGTACATGCGGCGGGAAGCTCAGATGAAATTTTCGGAGAAACAAAATCACGGCTTCCGGGTGGTGCCTGGTGAGATGCCTGGGGTTCCAGGCATACATCTAAGGTACCTATACACAAGTTGCCGAAGCGGCAACCAATTAAAGATCGGAGGTAGTACTTCTGTAGCCGCCAGGCTTCTGCACGCTGCATCTCCTCACCTTGTCACAAGCCAGTCAGGTCTTCCCCTCTGATGGGGTTTCCGATGTTTAAAATGACGCCCACTGCCTTGCACTTAGTCGATGGGCCTTCTTTCCCCTTACTTTCATCTACAATTGACCTTATGGTGTATCACTTTCTCTTGAACTTAGCAACATCGACATCCACTAACAATGCCACCACTGCCGGGTGAGGAGCGAGTGCTGACAGTGTAAGTTCAAGCTTGCGATGTTTCTTACCCCGCCAATTTTGCCACTAGCAATCGTATGAATGAGCTGACGCGCCTGTAGCTTCGCCGACATCCATTACTATTTCGCGCAACCAAGTCCAAGGACTCGTCGTCACCGATTCGACAAAGGTTCCTATCTATATCTCTTCCAGAGCGCCGCCCAGCGCAGGATCAGAATTGAAGTTGCGAATAACCCGGGTACCCCGGCCCAAGACGCTTTCAATGGAGGTTAGCTAAGATTGCCTCCTTTCCACGCTGTGCTTAGATTTACTGATCGGTTCGTAGCTCTGGATAAAATCCATGTGCGACACTCAACCCAATTTCCGACCCTATGCACAGTAACGGTAGACGGACAGTCGCAAGCTGCGGCGCAGAATGCACCTGCTTTCCCTCCCCCACCAGGCACTGCGGCTGAATGGGAGCTAGTCGAAGATGATACGCAGAATTTGATGCGCCTGCACACGCTGGACATCTACTTCTGGACCGTGGAGGATGCGAACCAGTTTCTCGATATCATTGAGCGGGATTTACCCGCGGCGCAGATTGAAACCGATCGACACCCATATCCCCCTCCGCCTCAGAGTACCGTCAGCTCGGTAGTCCAACAGCTGGAGACAGTGGCCATCACTGACCCCGCATATCAGAACGGACAGACGCGCAACTCTCAGGCAGAAGTGGTCGCCAACCCTGCGTCAAATTATCAAGCCATCACCCCGTCAAGCACTCTCCCTCCTCCACCTCCGCTGTCGTCCACCCTTGCTCCCACTGGCTCTCACTTTGCTGCGACTGAACAGCAACATCAAGACCCGGCCCCTCAGTCCGCCCCCCTTCCATACAACCCCGCCGCGCCCGCCGCTCCGGAGCCGATCAAGCACCGTGAAAAGACTCCGCCTCCAGAAGACTACGCGAATGGCACGGGTCTCGCGGCTGCCGCCGCTGCACCGGATCAAGGATTCCCGTTCCCCTCTTCTGCTGCTCCAGCGTCACCGGGACTTTCTTCTCTGATCTCTTCGCCTGCGTCACCAGGCCCCCACACTACCATGCCAGGAACCTACGCATCTCCACCCCCAAGCACGGGGCTGAGCTTTTCTCCCTCGGTGACACGATCCGCATCCATCTCCAGCCCCCCTGGAGTCCCGTCGTACACCACAGCCTTCCTCTCCGGCGAAAGCCCGGGATATCAGCACCAGCCCCGCAGCTCGCTCAGCAGCACGGGCTCCCTCCCTGGACCGCCCGGACCGCCGCAAGCAACCACCATGACGTTCGCACCACCACCCACCACCGACGCAACAGCCCAGAATGCAAACCCAGCTGCCGCTGCAGCCACCATGAGCTTTGCACCTCCTCCTACCGAGCCCCTCTCACCCCCTTCACAAACTCAACCCCAAACCCAGCCCCCGTACACAAACCAATATCAGTACCAACACCAGCACCAACACCAACACCCCCAGACCACCCCACCGCCTCCCATCCACCCCGCCGTAGCGATAGCCGGCTACTCGAACTACTCGTACGAGCAACCGGGCGCCGTGGCTGGCGGCAACGCACCGGCCGAGTACGACATCCACCGACAGATGTACCGGCCCACGGAGGCGGAGGCGACCTCACGCCACCAGAAGTACGCGAAGGAGGCGATGAAGAACCCTGGGGATCGGCCGCAGACATTTGTGAAGAGCGCGTACCGGGTGGAGAACAGTGTGAACCGGTTTTTGAAGAAGTTGGAGAAGAGACTGTAGCTGCTGCTGCTGCTGCTGCTGCTGTTGTAGCCGGTGCTGTTGTAGCCGGTGCACGACCCTATCCAAGGGTGTGATTCTGGTTGGGTGGTCGGTGTATATTTGCTCCTGTCATGATCGGATTGGGTTGTACGGTTATTTCGGCTGTTCTACGGTTGATATTATGCTCTGGAAACACCTTTCCTCGTATGAAGTTGAAAATCGAGAACAATGTATAAAAACGGACCCACATATACAATACGACCCCCACACAACCCAACCACAACCCATATCGACAGTAGTACGTAGTATATACAAACACCCAACAACCCAAAAACCCTACACACAAGATAACCCCCCTACTAAACCCCCCCAATCCACACCCAACCCACCAACACAAAGGGTCCTCCCCCACCGTCCCCAATCCCATTGAAAGAAAACACCCCTAATCCCTCTTCAACCCCACCCTCCCCGTCTTCCTCAACCCGGCAAACCCGACAACCGTACAAACAACCATAAACCCAAACATGGTCCAAAAGCTCGCCCGATAGCCCGCCATCAACGCCTGCTTTTCTTCCCGGGAAGAATTCTCAGCGGCCACCACCGTCGAAATCACCTGCAACACGGCCATGCCCAGCGCACTACCAAACTGCGCCGAGGTGTTGAACACCGCGCCGGCCAGCGCCTGCGTCGTATCGGGAAAACTATCCGTGATAATGATCAGACCGACGGTGTACAACGCGTCGAAGCTGACGGGCTGCAGGAGCTGGGCGATGAAGGCGTTGGCCCAGTAGGGCCAGGAAGGCTGGATTAGGGCCATAAGAAGCGGGGAGCCGGCGCAGAGGATTGAGGTCACCGTCACGATCCAGAAGGCGGGGACGCGGTGGACGAAGATTCCGATTACGAAGTTCATGAGAACGCCGATTACCAGGCTGGGGAGGATGCGGATGGAGGCTTGAAGGGCGGAGAGGGATTGGATTTCTTGGAAGCTGTTTTTTTTTCGGAGGGGAGGGGTTAGTTGTTGTTGTTTTGGGGGGGGGTGGAGGGGTGGACTTTGAGCATTGCTGGGTTTAGGGGGCTAAGGGGAGACGTACTATAGACTGGCGAAGAGTTCCATGGAGTTGATCACTGCGTTGGATACGGCGATTGTCACGCTGATGCTGCTGAATGACTTGTTGCGCCAGAGGGAGTTGGGGATGAGAGCCGGTTTGTTCCGCTTGACCTGGTGGTGCATCCAGTAGACGAACGCGGGAAGGGCGACGGCCGCCACGCAGAGGATGACGATTGCTTCGGCGGAGCGGATGCGCGATGGATCGGCGCTCAGGATGCTTCGGAAGTTATGTAATTAGTTAGGTGTTGGGTTGAAATAAAAGTAGATTCCAGACGGGGGCCCGGCAAGTTACTCACGCCAACAGATAGCACACCAACGCCATAAAGGCCGAGGCGAGCCCAGCGCCAACCCAGTCAATCTGCGTCTTGACATTGTGCATCAAGTCCGCGTGTCGATGGGTCTCGCTCTGCGGGACAGCCCACAGACCGACGACTGCGAAAAACAGGGTGATTCCACCGGCCAGATACCAGCCCGCACGCCAGCCGATGGTGTCCACGAGTACACCTCCGACGACCAGCCCTAAAGAAAAGCCAAGGGGCTGGCTGAGACCCAGACAGGAGAAGGCGAGGTTGCGGCCCTGGCCGGGAGGCAGGAGCTGCGTGATGATGGAGATCGACGAGGCGAGATGGAACGCCAGCCCGACGCCCTGCAGGGCGCGCAGCACGACCAGCTCGTCCCCGTTGCGCGACAGCCCTTGCCCGATCATCAGCAGGCCGCTGGCGAACGAGCCGACGAGCTCAACCCATCGTGGGCCGATGGCATCGGCGATGGACCCCGCCAGTAACAGAGTAGACGCGGTGGCCAGGCTGCTCACGGACGAGGGCCAGAAGGAGAGCGAGGACGGCAGCTGAAGGTCCTTGGTGATCGTCGGCAGACCGACCACGACCAGCCCATTGATGACACTGGCGGTAAGCGTGACGGCCGACAGCTGGGCGATCACCACCGACTGTTGGAGGCGGAACTTCCGTGCAGTGGGTGAGCGTGTGCTATCGTTCTCGGAGGACAGGACATCGCTACCTTCCAGCAGCACCGACTGTGCTGGAGGAGTCTTGGTGATGGTGGTGGTTGCCATCTCGGTGTGTGTCGCAGTCAGAGCGTAGAATGCTGGTTGCTACCAGGTTCTTTTGCACACAAAAGGTGGAGTAAGTAGATTTTTGACTCTGGGGAAGCGAGGTGGACTGGTGGAGTCGAAAACCGCTTGATCCACTCTCTCAGGCTCACGGATCATAGAACGACCGAGCGAATCGAGGGTGGATAGCACCTGAAGAGAATGTGCGCTGTTCACGAAGCAGACTCTCTGAATCCATGCGAAATGCCCTCAGACTCTTAGGTGATGGCGTGAACAAATTTCTTGCGATTGACCCACCGGGCCCATCTTCCCCAGCCAGAACCATGATTCCTTGCTCTCGGATCAGCCTTCCTCCCGCCATTGTGCTAACCGATCCAGGTAGGACACCGGCGAATAAGTGAGAACAATAACCCAGCCTGTGCTGCTTCGATGGATTTGAGGTAGAAGATAGGAAGTGAAATGCTCGAGCTCTTGAGAACAGGAGAGAGCAGGCAGGAACAAGTCAACTGTTTTTTGTTTTGGGCTCCGGGCCATTTCGGCGCTAAGCCCTATCTCGATCTTATCTTGCAGGAACCCCAGGAACCCCCGGGCCCCAACTGGAACATTCCATTTTCCACAACTAATGTACTCCTCTAGATTAGTGCCTTCAACAATGATTTCATGTGGGCAGTAAGTAGAGTTATTTTGGTGGAACAATTAGTAAAAATACAGTTGATTGAAACTCAGTCCAATAATTCAACATAGTTGCTAAAGGCTTCCTACAATCCACTACCAAACCGAATACGCAGCACGAGCAAGATCAAAAACCTGTCGGAAAACCCCAGTACATATGCAAGACGCAGTACTCCGTACACAGCGCTAACTATCAAGAGCAACGAATCCCGAAACAACTCCACCGGACAATGCTCCGACATGCAACCATCGTCGGTCTTGCTCCTTGGAGAGAAACAAGAGGCTCGCTGGAACCGAAAGAAGAGAAGTAGAAATGAGGAATGGGGCAGGGGAAAATCAAGAAGAAAAAAAACAGATGATGAACTATTGAGAAGACACATGTGAAAACATGCACATGTGCCTAGTCACATCGCAATTACCAAGGGTATAAGAAAGGTATGTCAGGAGAAAAGAAGAGTAGATTGTTTTATTCGACCCCGGGGCAGCTACCGTGCATCGTTACGACGATCGGGATCATGGCCCTGCCTCAGTTGAGGGCAAGCTTGTCCATGTCAAGATTGACCTCGTTCGAAGCCTCCAGGAGGATCTTCTCAGAAGTCTCGGTAGCAATGTCCGCAGGAGTCTCGATAGGCACAACCTCATCAGCCAGATCTTCCGGCTCAGAGGCGTCCTCTGTGGCTGGCTCAGCGGAAGAGACAGCGTGATCCTCTGGAACGGAAGAAAGAGGCTCAGTAGCGTGCTCCTCGACAACAGCTGGCTCCTCGCTGGCCTCGTCGCCATTGGGGGTGGGAGTAGTCTCAGCAGGTGCTTCAGTCATAGGAGCAACCACCTCTTCAACCACTGACTCCCTAGCCTCCTCAGGCTCCTTGGGCTCCTTGGGCTCCTTCTCAACGGCAGGTGCCTCAACAGGAGTCTCTTCGGGAACGCTGGGCTCGGGCTCTGCAAGCTTCTCCTGAAGGGCCACATGCGAAGCCAGTGTTTCCTTTGGAGCAGCATCCTGCTCTGGCTTGGGCTGAGGCTTCTGAGGCTCTGCAGAAGCTCCACGCTGCTTGCCATGATCAGGCTTAGTCAGACGGGGTGGGCGACTTTCGAGCTTCGACGGAACACGGCGCGGAGCTTGAGCAGTCCGGGTGGTGCGGGGCGGACTCTTGATATCAACCTTGTCGTGCGACTTGCTGGCAGAACTTGCCGTCGGGCGCATCATTCTTGCCAGGAAACCCTCATCCACGGGCTTGGAGCTGGTGTTGCTTGTCCGTGAGTGCGGCCTCTCGGGAGGAGAAGCACGAGGGGCTTGTTTGCGAAGGCTCGCAGCCGTTGGGGTGATGGCGCGGCGCTGGGTTGTGGCGCTTGCATTCTTCAATGTAGATGGCTTGCGCGACAGAGGAGCAGAGGGTGCTGCGGTAGGTTCCTTCTTGGCCGTTGTAGATGTTGTCGATGTGGTTGCCGCAGGCCGAGCGGAGGTAGACACCGTTCTAGTAGTGCGAGAAACGCTCGACGCTGTCGGCTTAGTCAAGTCCCGAGCCGACGCAGAAGCACGCACAGTTCTGGTAGCAGGCTTAGCCGTGGGGTTCAGGGATGCCCGGCTCGGCTTCTGTGTTGCAACTTTCACGGGCTCATGCGGAGTGGGCTTTGCGGTGGTAGATGGCCTAGACGCCCGGGTAGTCTTGGCTGTGTGATCAACAGTCTTGGCTGGGGACGTTGGCCTACGGGGGTGAGTGGGCGACTTCGTAGCAGGCTTCACAGGAGACGACCTTTTCGCCACCTGGATCGCAGCTGGGCGCGGGGTTGCAGTTTTCTTGGGAGAAGGGGGGTTCGACGCCGCTGCTGTGGGCGCGGTGGTGTTCTCGGCAGGGGTGTTCTCCTTATCTTCCAGCGGCTTGGCCTCCTCTACTAGAGGCGTAGCGACTTTCTCCATGGTTGGCTTCGGTGCCACCTCTGACTCCGTCGTTGATGGAGCAGAGGTCCTCCATGGGAAGCCATTGCCCGTGGGTGACAAAGGGCTCTTCAAACCACCTTCCATGTCATCCGAATGAAAGCTCCGCACTCTAGTTGGGCCGGCGGGGCTGTCGCTGCGCACACTGACACTGCGCAAGCCTGCGAGAGGGTTGGGCTGAGTGGCACCGTCAACAGCGACGAAACTCGCACGGATTTTGGACAGAGGCCGAGCAGAGCCCGAGTTGTCAGAGCCGGCAGGGGATCGACCTCGCGAGGGTGGTGAGGGAGCGCTGGTTTGGTTGGTTTCGAACTTAGCAAGCAGGCTCCGCACGCCTGGATGACCACCGGTGTCATTCATGATGAATTTGGGTCGGTAATAAAGGAGCGCGGGCGCAGAGTGTCAGGAGAGAGCTGGGGTGCGGATCGTGCCGGACCGGATGCCTGGGGATCGACAGAGGAGCGGAGTTGACTGAGGGGAGAAAAGGGAGGTAGGCAAGGGCGTGAACAATATTTAGTGGCGATCGATGGCGGAGGGGTAGCAGCGATGCCACCAAGTAGGGAGTTCAGACGCGCTCCTGAAGGGGAGGGAGAAGAGAGAGAGCGTGTGACGTGATATAAACAGAGGCCAACAACAAAAACAAACGGGAGGGAGACGTGGTTTGGTTTGGGCTGGTGGGGGGGGTCAAAGCTAGTGAGACAGGTCAGAGGTGGGAGGAGGAGATAGAACCATGGTGGTGAGCAACAACAACACAGAGAGTAGATGCAGAAGAGGAAAGCATTGAGTGATTTGGGCCAGTAATCAAGGGCGACTATATCCAATAACCATGATTTGAGCTGAGGAGTGAAAGAAGAATGTAAAGAAGGAGGAGGAGGCCTGGAGAGAGAATAGAGAGGAGAAAGAGGAGAAAGGCAGAAACAGCAGCCGAAGCAGCAGAAGAAGAGGAAGAGAAGGAAGCCAGAAGGCGAGAACGGGTCGAAAAGTGGAGATGACTGGATGACGGCCTCAGGCACAGGCTTGGTTTTCAGGGGTCGGATCCGCGGCTTCACTTTGATTGAAACAAGAAACAGAACAGAACAGAACAGAACAATTATTATTATTCCAATTATCACTTCCATCCATCCCTCTCTCCTTCTTCTTCCATTTCTTCCTTCTAGTGGATACTCCTGCATAATAGTTCCACGTACTATTGACCTCCTCAGAGAGTAAAATCCCAACGGTGCAGTGGTTAACAAACACATTCATATGCAGGCGCCTGTTTATTCTCACACTTGTTCCTCGCCCTTGAATCAGCCATCAATCGACAACAATGATGGCGGTGCGCCCTTGCCAACAGTCTTTTTGCCTTTCCCTACCAGAACTTTATTGCTAACGCAGATCGAAGCAAGCCCGCCTGAAACGACCCCTCTCTGGGGGGGCCCCTATGAAACGTCAACCAGTGTGCTTGGAACTTGAACCAATTTCTCCCTTTCTTCCTGTCCCAAACAAGGTTGACCCTACACCCATTGTCACATCCTCCTGGTTTTTCCCTTCCCCTCCAATCCCCGATAGAATCTCTCGATACAGAGGCGCGCTATCCTCTACGTACTTCGCACTTGTACTCAGTATTACTCACTAGTGGCCGAGCTCCCTGCAATCTCCTGCAGTCGCGCCGAAAAGTCACCCCACGCCCCTAGACTAAAGGCCAGCTTGCAGCTCCCCACGAGCGAATCAGCGGTTCTGGGCATTCACCACTGCCCGAAAGGCACACCATGCATAGGATCCCAGCACTTGCAGACAACTCCCGAGCCAGCATGGCCTTTTGGGAGGACAAGTAGTCTGCCGCAGGGTGATCAGGAGGCATGTGCGCCCAAACGCTCCATAACTTCTGTATCGACATCGTTGGCAGTTGGCACTGACTGACAATGTGTCTGTCTGTCCGTCCGTCTGCCCCGTCCCGCATGGCTTATGCATTGCAGCTCACTCCTCCCTCCATCTGCCATCGTGTCCCTGCATGGAAGAGGGGTCGCAGGAATTAGGACCAACCGATCGGGGGGGAGGGGGGAAGACGATCGTAATACCATTGACACCGGACTGTGCTTTAGCGCTCTTCTAGAATCATTCGTGGAAGGACTCTGCTGGCTTAGTGCTTCCTCTAGTTAGCTGGGTTGTCCGACCCCGGTCGGTCGGTGACATGACTTACCTGTAACTATACGAAGAAACTCCGCATCCCCTTTTTTTCCGCGCTGTTTGCTGGCTGCCTTGTCCACCGACCTCTTGTTCGTTCGCCCAGTGCAAGGTCCTTGTATGCCACGTGCTATAGCATTCATCACTGTTCCTGTGTTGACTTGAGTCAACTTAGACAGAATTGACCTTCCTAGAAGCAGACAACCGTAATTTGCCGGGGCAACCAAACCCCCCAACAGTCGGGGCAGGGACACCTTCCGCCCCCACGCGGGATCAACCTTATCCTAAGGCATGAACGGCTTCTTACTATGTACTATACTATTGTCTATACTGATGCTCGAGCTATCTACAGCGCTTATTCTTGTAGTGCAGGAAAATACTTAATTCATCGCTATGTTATTCCCAGCTCGTACGACCTGCAAAGCCTACGGCTCACAGCGTCTGACTCAAATGTTTTACACGTGGCCAAGATGAGAGCAAAGGATATATTCCGAAACAAAAACCAGACCCCATTAGCAAGACACCCAAACAGGACCAAAACACAGATCGTATCATCCAAAACCGAACTGGTACACGCATGCAAGTCAGACGGTACATAGTCTAGCTGTAAATAGTGTAGTGAATGGACAACGCTCATAGGTCAGCCGGGTCCGAGGGCAGCAACATCTGCATATCCGCGCCCGCAGCTGCATCCTCCTCGGGCTCATCGGTGAGAATCCCAATGCCACTGTCCAGACGCTTACGGTGCTCGCCCCGTCCGGCCTCCACATCGATAAATCTGGTCATGCTGACCGGCGTGATAGGCTCGCTACCCAGTGTGGTACTATCCGACTGCAGTTCATCAGACTGAAGCTGCCAATTGGCGGCTCGGACCTTGGCCTTGCGGCGTTCGTTGCTGACAGTTTCTTTCATTCGAGCAAATGAGCGTGCTTGCTCCGCAGCCCATGTCTCCAGAAGAGTATCCCTAGCTTCGGTCTCAAGCTGCAGCTGGTGCTCCAAGCCCACGTTGCTCCGCCGTAAACTATCGATCTCTGACTTGGCACCCGCGAGCGAGGTGTTGAGCTCTGCAACGACAACATTGAGGGTTCCGATTTCCTTCTCACATTGTTCAAGTTGCTCAGCCGCTTCCTGCTTGAGACTTTCAATTGCCTTCTGACGCTCCAACTCCAGCTCCTCCACTCTGACGCTCAGTTGGTACGATCGAGCACGGTTTTGTTCAACAGTGTCTTCCAATTCGCGGATGCGGGCTTCACGCTCCGCAACTGTGCCTTCAGCGACGCGACGCGCGTTTTCCTGTTCTGTGACTTGCAGTTGAAGCTTCGACACCTGTTGACTGTAAATGTCGCTGTTCGTGACTTTATCTGATTCTAACTCCGTGACAAGTGTTTCTAGGCCCCTGATCTCCTCGCGATACCTGTTGAGCGCCGCATTGAGTCTGTCAATACCTACAGCTTGCTCCTCCCCTTCCTTTTCTAGCTCCTGCATCCGCATTCGTGTATGGAGCATGTCGCTAGCAGAGCCGGCAATAGACTCTTCAAGGCCGCTGATCTTCCTGCTCGCATCTTCGTAGCGAGCCAGGAGCTTATCGAATTGAACACGAAGGGCTCGTTCCCTATCACTAGATCCCATAGCCCTTGCGCGCTCATCTGCTAAGTTTTTAATCAGGATCTCAATTCTTTTGATCAGAGCACTAAGAGTCGCGCAGCCGTCATTCAAGCCTATATTCGGTGTCTCTCCAGGAATCGCTCGTTCAAGACGCAAGCGTGCGGAGCGGAACTGATTGCGCATATCTGCAATGATCTCTTCGGCATGTACTCCTGGAAATCCCAATTCTGACAGCTCCTCTTTGATAGAATTTAATGACTGCGTGGCATCCGAAGCTCGACCAAGGGTCTCAGCCAGACTTGGTATCAGTTGATCCACGAAATCTGGCGGTGGGGACGCCCGATGAAGATGAGGCTCAAGCGTGGTTCCACCAAAGGACGCAATGCGAAAGCGGCATGCTTCGAACAGGGCGCGTTTCTCTTTCCTAGCAGTTTCAAGGTCTGCGAAGAGGGCATTGATTTCTGCCTCTGAGTCATGGTCAGGAAGAGACAATTGGGTTTCCGCATCCGCATTCGGGCTCCCGCTTCGCAAGAGTTCACAACCATCTATGCCAAAGCGTGGAGTTTTCCATAGAGATCTGAGATCAGGTGAGTCCGAGATAAGCATCGTTTCTCCGTCAAACCCGCTTTCATTGACGATGATCGTGTCGTTCTCGGTGTTGGCCACACTGGAGCTGTCTACGAGATCATCTCTGGAAAAAGATAGCTCCTGTCTCATTCGATGAGTCTCGGACTCCAGACGCTCGGCTAGTGACCGAGGGGAATCGCACGAGGGTCCGTCAGCCGGTTCTAGCGATACACCTTTCGGCAGGCGCTCGATTCGCTTGACCGAATCCAGCTCTTGCTTCAAAGAGTCACGTTCCCGCAGCAATGTCTGCAAGGTTCGCTCATAACGTGCTGCGTCCCTCTTCTCGCGCTCCAACTGGTTGATCTCATCACTCAACCCAACTCGCCGGATTCTTCGTTGCGTCCGTGAGTCCAGAAGCTGTCGAAGTGGCGTGAATTGAAACACCTGTTCCACACCGGCGGACGAAGAGGAGGCCGGGGAGTGAGGCTGAGAGCGGGTCTTCCAAAGTGGCGTGGAATGGCGTCGCGAGCGGCGACTTGGGGAGCTAGTCAAAGGATCTATATCCGCCCGTTCTTCAAAGGAGGTGCGTAGCATGGCGGGGGTGAGTCCAGTTCCATAGTCCGAGCCGGCGTGTAGCTGAGGGCCTGGATCGGAGAAGCGGACCTTCTTTCTAGGCTGTCGCCGATTCTTGGAAGGAGTAGCTATGGCATGAGAGTTATTGGACTGACGAATCGTTTGTTGAGTGGAAGCTGAGAGTTGAGGCTCTGGACCGGAGACAGAACCGACCCGGCGTTTGCGCCCGGACTGCTGTCTTGTTTCAACGACCATTGCGTCTTGGCCCGGCGGGGTACAGTACGCGCTTAGGTCGTACAACAAAGGAAGATCAGTAATATAGATATAGTATCTACCAGTAGGTTCCGCCCGGACAGACTAATAATGATAGAAACGTATTGCAATCCGAATGAAAGTGCAGTGGTGCAGTTGAGTGCATGAAAGGCGATATATTACCGAGCAACGAAGGGCAACAAAGCGCGACAAAGTATGGAACCGCAACCTGGAGGCAACAGGGGCCAGAGTATATTTTGATATGATTTTTCTACATTCGGCAAGGGGTCGATCGTGCCGAGGGCGAGTGCGTGCCTTCCTTACGCGTGATGGACCCAGGGCCATGTCTCAATTGGGAAAGCGTAAACAACATCCCGAGCTGGGCTTAGGCTGGAGCCTGGAGCCTCCCGGGGATGCCTTGCGCCCGTCAGGTGACTGTCTCTGTGCCTGGCGATAGAGGCGGTTTTGGGGTTGTGTGTGTGTGTGTGTGTGTGTGTGTGTGTGTGTGTGTGTGTGTGTGTGTGTGAGACATGTGAAAGGTTCACAGCCATTTGCTCGTTCATAATGACCGCAAGCTACTGTACTGACTTCAGTTATCACTTCTGCGTCATCAGTTCAGCTCCATTGATGGATGATTGCAGTGGATCAACCATAGTTCGGGCACTTATCAGTCCTAAGCCTGAGGACAAAGGCTTCCCTCCCCCTGTCAGACTACACACTCTACCGCGGCAGTGCGGTAGTTGCTATCTTATCGCTCCCAGGGAACGAAATTTGGCTCTGCACATCACACTCTCTGGCCGGAGTAAATGACCGTCGTTCCCAAACTTCATCCCAAAAATCCCAACATTTGGGTTCCTTTCCATGCGAGACACTGCAGGCTACCAATTGATCAGGCTCCCTTACTTCTCCTGACTCAAATGTCCCAAATGTCCTGGTAACAGCGTTGCACGGTCTCTGCTGCGTGGATGATGAGGTGATGCGGGCCTGCTGCGGGTGATGTCATGCGATCTGACTCTCCCCTCGCCAGTCGAAGAAGCAACAATCCCTAACACTAACTTAAAACATGCAGATCACCTTTGTCTCGATATCTTTTTCCTCCCCGGCACCCTCTGCGAGCTGTCATTTCTGAAGTTGACTGCGCCCTCGACACACGCTCCACAGTCCTTCTCCACGCCTAAGCCACTGCGATGGCCACTGCGTCAGCCAGTTGGTATTCGAGCCAGGCTGCTTTGGGCGAACCACGACAGACTTCAACAGAGCAGAAGAACGGGCTACAGTCCTCCATAGCCGACCTTACCTCCGAGACTGAAGACATTATGGAAAGTCCCATCCTAAAGCTCCCCCCAGAACTCGTCCAGCAGATTCTGGCTTACCTGTCAGCCCAAGAGCTTGCTCGTGTAGCCGTTACCTGTCGCTCTCTCGCGGATCACGTCAATAACGAGCTACTGTGGTTGAATCTGATCAACTCTTACTTACCCGAGCCTATTCATGACCCTGGCCTTTTCGACTCCTTCCGTAGCCTCTACATTGCCCACCATCCCTGCTGGTTTATTCCTAAGCATAAAGTCTGGTTCTCCGACACAGAACATACAGGAAATCTGATTCTGGCGCGGTACGATCATCGACGCGGAGTGATCGAGGCATACCGGGTCATCGCAGAGCGACGCTCTCACCAATTCCAAATATGGGACTGGAACCCAGATGTCATCATACAAAGCTTTGATCCGAGGGTCAGTCTATGGTTGGACGACCCTGTCCTTTTGTTAAAGCCCCAGCGCGAGGGGCGGTCACGCTATCTGCAGGGAGAGATTCGCATGCCCATGGCTCTTGAGATGCAGCATGTCTTCAATGCCTTTGCACCCTGCTCAAAATATCTGCCTCCAGACCTCGGTGGCAGTAAGCAGTGGCCACCACCAACCATCCCGAGCGATCATCGAGTCTATCGGGATGTCGAGCAACAACTCCCAGAGTGGGAGCGCAATCCTCGACAGCTGGAGGAGATGTCAGAGTATGGTTTCCGGATCCGAAGGTGGGCGCATTTTCGTCTGGGGGTTCCCATATTCGCCGCAGGTCGGAATGAGACCCTCTCGACATTTGCCACGCTCGACCCTGACGTGTACACGCCAACACCGCGCAAGCCATACCAAGGCATTTGGGTTGGCGATTATTCGGCGCACGGCTGCGAATTTCTACTTGTTCTGCAACGCGACCGCGATGAATCGCTCGCGGCGGCCGAGCCGACTGATAGCGAAGCGACGCTACAGGGAAGCCTAGAGGCTATCAAGCTGACCGGTGACCCAAACGTACCACGAGGGGAGATCTCCTTTGCAGCGGATGACATCGGTCCTGGCGGCCTGGTGCGGATTGCTGACGAGGGCCTTTTCCAAGGAGCACGAATTGTGCGCAGCCGAGGCCATGTGGCGGGCCTTGGCTTCCGTGATGGTAAGAACCATCATTCCGAATCAAGTGTTTGTCTACTCTGACCCGAGTTTCTAGATACTTTTATCTCGTCCCAGCTGATCCTGCTCTCAACCGACTGTGTGGCTCACTATTGGGAAACAATGGGCCACATCTCTTACTACCGCCGACTCGATGTTGATGCACTACTCCAGACGTGAGGCTGAGTTATCCCAAACATTACGTATGGGCGCATCATGTCATTTATCTACTTTTCTCCAATCTTGAAACCTACCCAATAGCATTGCTTTGGTGTCTTACATTGAAGCACGTTGCCACTTCATCAACGGACGTGGGCCAGAGCTCAGCATCGGGGCGGCGGAGTGATCGTCCCCTCCATGGCAGAGCAACCATTGGCTCTTGGGATGGGTGGCTCAAATCTCACAGTGGTATCGCTTGCATTCTCAGCCCAGCCGCACTGCGAAGGATGACTGTAGTCGAGATATGCATCGGTTGTTGCGGATGAACCAGGCGTGGTACGATAACTGTTTGCTATCGACATGAGTTTATGTACATTGGTAATGTCAAGGAGAGCGCCAGTGTCAAGTACACGAGTGAAGAGACGACTCAAGGTGCACAGATAATGAAGGATATTCCTAACGCCATGATTTGCTGTTGCAACACCAACCGAGCGGGATCCCCGCCGTACCATCACCATGCATATAAGAAACCGAGCCGGACGCGTGGAGGATCACCCGGGCTTGACGGGGAAGAAGGAGGGGGGGGGGGGGGAGTTCGTTGCTCTATCCTGCCGACCACAACCGAAACAGGCATGTAAAAGGGCGCTGCAACCGAGTCCGGTATCGAAATTCCAAGTTCAACGACCCTGTCACTTCATCTTCGCCGAGACAGGAGAGAAAGAGGGGGCAGCCGACTCAGCCGCCGACGATGATCAAAACTCTACCGTCTCCGCTCGAACCAGCTGGTCGACCCGAGAACCGCAACGGACTGGTCCATCACCCACTCGCCCACCCCGAGATACTTGTCGATCCACTGCTTGAAGTCCTTGTTATCGGTGATTTTGTCGGTTTCGAGACTGGGGCTGTGAAGAACCCCCACGCACAACCCGGGACAGGGGCAGGCGTGAGGAATATGAGTTAGCGTGATGTACGAGGTCGAATACAACCCAGCCTCAATCCTCGGAGGTTGAGGTTGCGCAGGCTTGCACATGCGAGGGAAGCGGGACGGGGATTTATTACGTTAATCCAGTCGACCGCTTGATGCCGGCCAGGAAGGCGGAGACTGATAGAAGCGAAGGCGGGTTAGCATCTTTTACTGTTTGAGGGCAATCGCATCCGACTTGGGAACTTCTGCCTCCTGCTTGGGTCACGAGGAGAGAATGAGAAAGAGAAACGTACTGAGCACCGCATCAAAAGCGTAATGACTGAGACGACCCAACTGGTAGCCCCGACCAACAGGTCATAAATCAGTACACTTATCTCCCCGGTTCGCATATGCTATCCCCCTGTTTCATATCTCGGCGAGTAGGAAGATAAACCCACCATCTTGAATTGTGCGTGGGTGCGTGGTACGGTACGATCGAAGTAGCGGCTAGATAGATCGACAATCGACAATCGACAACCCGGGAGAGAGAGGGGAAGACACTGGATATCTGCGCCGTTAGCTACACACACTCTCTCTCTCTCTGTCTCTCTCTCTCTCTCATCCAAACAATACCCGAGTCCACTCACAGTACTAAGAAACGTTGGCTGAGAACTCAGGCGCTGCCTGTAGGCTATGCTATCGGGTAAGTTCAGCAGTGGACGGTACTGCTCGGAGCGGAGAAATGAGGAGTTGGAAAGATGGTGGAGAAAGGGAACTGCAGTGGACGGGTTCACGTGCTTCGAGGGCACATGACGTGGGCGAGTGATTTGTCCAGACTTCTACTGTGTAGTGGTTTAGGCACCGGTGGAAAGGCGGTGAGGAATCGGAGGCTGGGTTGGGGGCTGGTTCACACTTCACCTACTGTTGGTGGGGGGGGGGTTTGGCTGGGAGATGGGTGGCTGATGGCTATGGCTGAGGGAGGGAAGGGAGGGGTTGTTGTGGCTGTGTCACTCGCTTTTGTTGGTGTCTCTTTGGGGGGATGGGCTGCAGAGGGGGTGGGGTTTGAAGTGAGGTAGGTATCTTGATGTGTGAGATGTGGAATTCGACATTAAGATGCTATCAATTGTCTTTGGGCTGCTTTTGATCGAGGAACTGAGTGTTATGCTTTACAGTACATTGCAGGAGTCTTGTAGACAATACTTTGTACGGTATCTCTTGTCTGAGAGATTGGGAAAGTTCGAGTAGGTCTAATGGAAAACCTGCACTGATGCACTATATCAACTGTGATCAGGAAGACAGCTTAGTATAGTACTGTGGTAAGTCAGTAACTGCCCGCTGAATACAAGTGCTTGATGGGCAGTTTGGGATCCTCAACCGAGAACCTAGGAGGTTGCGCTGAACCAGACAAATGCGCCAAGAATCAATAAATAGAACGCAATACAACTCATGAGGGATCCGTTGCTCTTATCTTCCATACGAACTACATATGGACTGACAGGCCACGAATACCTTCGCCAGACACCAAGACTACTGACTACAGTGTTAGTCCACTAATCTACGCAGTACAAACCAAGACGCAATAGCTCACTCCCATCCCAAACCCAAAGACACCCGACGGAAACAACAACCACCTATCTCCGAGTCCAGATCCAACTGCAAAGTAAATACACCCAACCTGTGTGGACCGGAGTAACTGCCGTGCGTGCCGGACAGACAAGAAACTCCGCGCACGGAGGCTTAAAGTCTCTGAACGGAGAAAGCCAAGTGCGGGCCGCCGCGGAGAGTATGCCGCAAAGTGCCTGAGGCAGTTTGCGGCCTGGTCTCTGAGGCAACACAGTTAATGTGGTTTCAATGGGTTCACCGGGAGTCCCGAGTCGGCAACCGAAGCCTGGGCTCTCGCTATCAAGACATCGGAGATGCCTGGTTGGCGAGGTTCCTCTGGCCAATCGGAGTTGGATGAGTATAGATGATGTTGAGGACGGAAGTACAGTACAGCTAGCTATACACAGTACGGATGTACATAAGTATGATCAAAGAATGAAGTAGTGATGATCGGATGTGCATGGTTGGCTTGCGTAAGGAGACGAGACACCACTAAACGGCCATGTAGATTGATGCTGCTCTTGGTCGCCCGAGAGTGTGGGTGACGGAGGTCTCCGATCACCAGTTCCCGGAACGGGAGTCACACACACGAAATCTGTTTGCATGCCATCGGACACGACCATGTTTTGAAATTGGACTGATTGTGACTACTGAGTACTGTGCTGAGGCATATTGTTCAGCCCTACGGGTTTGGTCTCATCCACTTCGGCTCCATGTTCCCAGCAAAAAGATGGGAGATTCATCCTCTGCGGCACCTGATTGATCGAGGTGATGGGCATGGTGGGGATGGAGTCTCCTCCAGTCGTTTTGTCATGTGGTCCATGATCCATCGGGGCAAGCTGGTTCAGGACGGAAAGCACCAAGAGACAATTGTTGGCGATGGACTAGGAGGATACTACGGAGTTGATAGGGCAAATATCATGGATCATGGATCCCTCAACGTGGAACCGAATTGGGAGAGTCGCCGGGGAGGTGTGCCTGAGGATTCCGCTCCGGTTGGCGGCGGGGTTCCAGTACAGATTTACCTAGTACTGGATGTACACTGTAGCTGGCAGACTGGATGCTGGTCAAGCAAAGGATGATCCCTGTTTTATGAGATTTACATATGTGCTCGTGGGCCGTAGATAAGTTAGAGTTGCCATCAAAAACAACAACCAAAGCCATTAATAATAGCAATGAGCTCAGTTACGTAGAAACGAAGGGGCTTGGGGCAACTGGAAGACCAGCTACCCGTGGGGAACCGACCGAGAAGCTGAAAAGGGAGCTGGCAAAAACGGCTGCCAACATTTTTCCAGACCGAAGAACGGACCACTCATCCTCACCCACACCCCTCTTGACCTGCTCTGCTCTAGTCGGTCGGTCACTCACCGGATCCGCCGCTGTTAATCTTTTCTTTCCTATCTTTCCTCCCACCCCACCCCACTCTCTCTTCTTCCCCTTCTTGCTTCTTCTCTTCCTCTTCTTCTCTTCCTTTCTCTCCAAACCTCTCCTCCCTCTCCAATTTCACTCACCTCTTCTGATACTTTTTGTTATCCCGGTTCAGTAGAGACACTTTATTCAAAATGGCCGCCAGTTCCTCTCTTGACCATCTGAGCAACCGTATGAAGCTGGAGTGGCACTCCAAGCTCAACACGGAGATGGTCCCCTCCAAGAACTTCCGCCGCACCTCCATCATCGGAACCATCGGTACGCTCATCTCCCAGGCGCATTGCATCGATTGTCTTGCCGTAGAGCTTCAGCAACCATGATTTCGTCGGTTACTGACATTGCCCCGCTTCTAGGTCCCAAGACCAACTCCGCCGAGAAGATCAACATGCTCCGCAGAGGTACGTTGGATAGCATTCGACTCGGGGCGCTCCTGAGAATTAACCTGTGATCCAGCTGGTCTTAACGTTGTTCGCATGAACTTCTCCCACGGTTCTTACGAGGTGAGTACTTGGTCTGCAGCCACCGCTCGGTCCTGATGCTGATTTTGACAGTACCACCAATCCGTTATCGACAACGCCCGCGAGGCTGCTCGCACCCAGGAGGGCCGGCCTCTGGCTATTGCTCTCGATACTGTAAGTGCTTCTAACCAGGCTTCACGATCAACGCATCTGACCCGACCGTAGAAAGGACCTGAGATCCGTACCGGAAACACCGTCGGCGACGCCGATATCCCCATCAAGGCTGGCCACGAGCTGAACATCACCACTGATGAGCAATATGCTACTGCCAGTGATGACAAGAACATGTAAGTCATTCCGCCGTGGGTGATCTCCGCGAGTCATCACCACGTCATTTGTGGGCACCCGAGTCAACGGAGACTGATCTGCATCCCCGTAGGTACCTTGACTACAAGAACATCACCAAGGTGATTGCTCCCGGCAAGCTCATCTACGTCGATGACGGTATCCTGTCTTTCGAGGTTCTGGAGGTCGTCGATGACAAGACCCTGCGCGTCAAGTGCTTGAACAACGGCAACATCTCCTCCCGCAAGGGTGTCAACTTGCCCGGCACTGATGTCGACCTTCCCGCTCTGTCCGAGAAGGATATTGCCGACTTGAAGTTCGGTGTCAAGAACGACGTCGACATGGTCTTTGCTTCCTTCATCCGCCGCGGCAGCGACATCCGTCAGATCCGTGAGGTCCTCGGCGAGGAGGGCAAGGAGATCCAGATCATTGCCAAGATTGAGAACCAGCAGGGTGTCAACAACTTCGACGAGATTCTCGAGGAGACCGACGGTGTCATGGTTGCGCGTGGTGACCTTGGTATCGAGATCCCCGCCCCCAAGGTGTTCATCGCCCAGAAGATGATGATCGCCAAGTGTAACATCAAGGGTAAGCCCGTCATCTGCGCCACCCAGATGCTCGAGTCCATGACCTACAACCCCCGCCCCACTCGTGCTGAGGTGTCCGATGTCGCCAACGCCGTTCTCGACGGTGCCGACTGTGTCATGTTGTCCGGTGAGACCGCCAAGGGTTCCTACCCCGCTGAGGCCGTCAAGATGATGTCCGAGACCTGCTTGCTCGCCGAAGTTGCCATCCCCCACTTCAACGTCTTCGATGAGCTTCGTAACCTTGCTCCCCGCCCCACCGACACTGTCGAGTCCATCGCCATGGCCGCCGTCAGCGCCAGTCTGGAACTTAATGCTGGTGCCATCGTGGTCCTGACCACTAGGTAAGTGTCGCGCCTCGGTTGGATCGAATAATGTGCTGACATGCGATGTAGCGGCCAAACCGCTCGTTATGTCTCCAAGTACCGCCCCGTCTGCCCCATCATCATGGTCTCCCGCAACGCCAAGGCCTCCCGGGTAAGTCCATGTGTTCTGTGTGACAAGCATGTGATTTGTGCTGACTCGATCCATCGCAGTACTCCCACCTCTACCGTGGTGTCTGGCCCTTCCTCTTCCCCGAGAAGAAGCCCGACTTCAACGTCAAGATCTGGCAGGAGGATGTTGACCGCCGTCTCAAGTGGGGTATCAACCACGGTCTCAAGCTCGGCATCATCAACAAGGGCGACAACATCGTCTGTGTCCAGGGCTGGCGCGGTGGCCAGGGCCACACCAACACCGTCCGTGTGGTCCCTGCTGAGGAGAACCTTGGCCTGTCTGAGTAAATTCTCGATCCCAGGATACCGGCACTCGACCGGTGGATGATGCGATGAACGACAACGATTGGATATTAACGCGCCAAGGGTGTTGTGCCTCTGGATATATCGTAGCACACGGTCTTCTCTCATTTTCAAACGTGACGATGACGCACGACGGAAGACCCCGAGTAGTG